CCATGACGTCGTGCGAACGGCACAACATGGACTGCCAAGATGTTGTCCCGGTAGTACTGGCCTGTAACACGCCCTGCAACAAAATGTAAAGCCGTTCTTCCAGCAACAGTGATGCCTCCCCACACCATAACAGAACCACCCCCAAATCGATCATGTCTGATGACGTTAACGTCTTGGAAGCGCTCGTTTCGACGACGCCACACCCTCCTACGTCTGTCCAAAAAATCAACAGTGAACCTTGACTCATCTGAAAACATCACATTGCTCCAGCGTCGATTATCCCAGTGTTGACGATCCCTACACCAACGACGTCTTGCCTGAATGTGATGATCTCTCAAACAAGGGATCACGCGAGGACGTCGGGCGCGAAGGTGACCCCTATGCAGTCGATTCCGAATCGTCTGGCCACTCACTCTCACACCAGTGTCTGTTTAAAGACGAGCGCTGATCTGATTTGCTGTGATGACACGATTTCTCAAGGCCAAGGTACCGATAAATCGATCCTGGGCTTGAGTTGTCGCCCTTGGTCGACCTGAGCGTGGTCTGTCCTGTACAGATTGTGTATCACGGTATCTGGACCATAGCCTGCTTATGACAGACTGAGAAACATTCATCGTCCGCGCCACAACCGCCTGTGTTGTGCCGATCTGTAGCATGCCAAGGGCACGTAACCTTTCATTTTGGGTAAGCCGACGCATATCAAAATTTGTTTTCTGGTCACTAAAACAATTAAACTGATGTTTCCACCCTGGAATTCAATGCCACAATGACTGTAACATTCAAAGTCAGAGTCGTGCAAATCTTGGGTTGGACCCCCATGATGATCCCAAGCATCACCTGCATTCCATGCGGTAGCTATTGGTGCGTTTGGGCGTCACATGTAACTGGAAATGTTTCTTCTGTTAGGTTCTATAGTGACTTTTTTCGTAGTCATTTGCATATTTTAGTATTATGCCCCCAAAATCAAATATCCCCTACTTTTTTTGAATAGTATAGTAAAACATCATGAGGCGAATTCGGCTTATAGACTAAACTAATCTGCCTGTTTGATGTCGCGTAGCATCGGAGCCGGATAAAGCATATTATAGTTTTACAGCTTCATGATTTATTGTGTTATATGTTTGTGTCGAACAAATCTATACTATTCTACCATATTGAAATACAAATTACATTTGTGCGAGTGCGACGGATATTGGCCAGAATATGCCTCCTTCGCGAGGTTGACATTTTCAGCCAAGGTACCCATGCAAGCTTAATCCAGAACTGCATTGTATACTATTGTTCTTCGAACTTTGTTTCCCATTATCTAATTTAATAACCTTTTCACATGTGGTTTTGGAAAAGTGCGATTTACTTTTATCCAAAACCATATACTAAAAAAAAACTGATTTAATTCAAGCAATTCACGAAAGTTACCATTATAATTTAGTGAACGAAATGTTTAAAGTCAAGTTCTGCAGAAAACGAGAAATCACTGCAAAAACTTAATGTATGTGACTCCCGTAAATTGAGTTTAGATCTGTTTGTACGCTTTCTTGTTTGGCATTGAGTTCCCGGGTTTTGTTAATATAAGTTAGTGTGTTTCCAATCACTGTATCCAATAGGCGCTAAAACAGAAGTTGGAAGAATTTACTTGGAGTGCCAATTTCGAACAAAACAGTGCCTTCACCTCAGCTGCTTCCATTATTTGAAACTCTTTGCCACAAAGTGTGAAAAACAGTAACAATGTACAATCATTTAACGGAGCTAAGTCTCTAACTCAATATTTTCCATAACAGTCGAAATTAAAAACACAAATTAGAATTCAATATAGGTCTATTTCAACCCATCATGATGTTGTTATATTGCCGTGAAAATGTAGGATCCTAATATCCAATATTTAAGACACAGAGATCGTTTAAAAATATGGTACACGATCGTTTCGGGCGCAAAATCAATGAACAAAGAAAAATTACAATGCGACAGTAAATATAGTAATGGCTGATTCAGACATGATAAAATAATAATAATAATAAAAAAAACGTCTAGAACGGACGAAGCAGGCGTAAACGACTGTCGTTTAGTTTGGACTGCTCCCGTATTTCACCGACCATAATTGATTAGAAATAACAACGTTTTTTAAAAACTGAATGTAAATCACTTTATATACACTCATTATACATTAATGAGTACTTTTAGACCCATTTATGATTACCCCCCCCCCCCCAAAAAAAAAACAACAAAAAAAAACAACCCAACATACGCCCTTTAAAAGAAACTTCAAAACAGAACTATTCCGACATTCAGTTTGTTAATGGCTTTAATGACATTGTAGTTTGCTCCATTGAGCAGTCATTTGGTTGGAATTTCAGCGCTATACAAGACAATTATTATTATTTTTCTTTGAGCAGGACCGAGTGTGATTTTGTTTTCTTCCTAGTTTCTCAATGAGGTCCATACACCTACTCCATTATTATCTATGGCATACCTCAAGGGCGGATCTAGTGGGGACGCACCAGGTGCACGCCCCGCCCCCCGATCGGGATCCTGGGGCCCACTTTAGAACTGGTTTCTTGTCTCAGATCAAGATCAGATCAGTCTAGTTTACGAAATCTTCCTTCCCCACCCAATTCGTATGCTTCGCGCGCTCTAATCGTGCGACTTTGCCGAACATACCCCTCCCCCCTCCTGTGGATCTGCCCTTGTCACTAGTAGCATGATCAGTTGGTATATTCGTGGCAAAATTTCAATCGTAGCACGCTGTACACTCATCTCACTCTCTCTCTCTCTCGCTCTAGTCTCTCGTCTCATCCGAATGACTAGACACTGTCCTACACCACTGACATGGGGAAACCGCGCCGGATAATCCGAAGAACTTTCTCTGCTAATTTGAGACATTAAGATTTCTTTAGTTTAACAAGCCAACAATGAGGATGATGTCCCCCGCCGAATTCCAAAAATAAATAGATGACAAATATTAATTAATCGCACATTTAATTTTTTCAAAAGTATCAAGCAATGAAACTGATTATCCTATACACTAAGATTCATCACTTTCTATCAGACAGAATCAAATTTATCTTGTCCTAAAGCATCGACCAATGAAATTTCTCAACTCTGCTTAGCTCTGCTTTCTCAGCTCTTCACCGATTCTTAGTATGGCCGATCGTTTGATTGACAGGCGTTAACTCCACCTACATAATCTCTGCTGTCTTTTGTCTGATGTCACCATATCCGAATTTGTGTTTTACCTTTTTGGATTTTTATAACAATTGGACAAAATGAGTGAGGGGGTAAATTTTCATTCTTACTTGTGTTTTGGGCATGCATTAAATCAATTGAATATAGGACATTTATGATAAATCTATAGGTATACACCAGTGGCGTCGTGCCTGTTGGGGAAATAAAAATATTTTTATTGATATCATTAAGACAGAAGACCTGTCCGTGTGTATTAGTCATCACACGGTCTCCAGGAATTGTATAATTTGTCATTATCTGTGTTTAGTTTATTGCACTTTAAAATGGTTTAGATGTCATTTGTTAAGGCATTGCTCAACAGCGGCCTCGCTTCGTACACTCTATCATTTAGCCTCGATCCGGGAGTATGACGTCAACGTAACGGCTAATCTCCGCTCACGACGCCATTTAAAATTAAATCAGTCAACGAAATCCCGTTTAAATCCAAGCTGAATCCAAGCCATCTGTGGGTCTAAAGAATTGATTTTGTGCTTGTTGTGTAAATAAAGATCTAATTTATAATTTCTATGACATCTGAAGCCTAAATAAAGACTTGCAATAATCAGATTTAGCTCTTGCATAATGTAGGCTATGTTTAAACCATAGAGGTGTATATATTGACAATATATACACCTCCATGGTTTAAACATTCTACCTTAATTAAAAGCTGAGTTGTTATGTTCCAAAGTATTGACCTATCAAATTGCGTATCGCTCCTTAGCCTAAGCAGACAATTCTCATCATCGAACTTAGTCAAGGTAATGATATAATGAATATATACTCGGAGTTTCGTTACTCTCACTTAATTAAAACCAAGGTCATCGTGCCCCAAAGCATCAACCAATCAGATTGCTTATCTCTGTTTATCGTAAGCATACAATGTTTATCATCGAACACCATCAAGGCATTCACCTAATGAACGCCTACACCAAGTTTGAACATTCTACCTCAATTAGAAGGAGAGTTATTGTGTTCCAAAGTATCGACCAATCAAATTGCTTATCACTCTGCTTACCCTGACCAGAAAATGCTCACTATCGAACTTAGTCAAGGTATTGATGTGATAAAACTATACACCAAGTGTCCTCACTCTCACCTAATTAGAACTAATGTTATTGTTATCGTGTCCCAAAGCATCAACCAATCAAATTGCTTATCTCTGCTATTAACCCAAGCAGAAAATTCTCATCTTCGAACACCGTCAAGGCATTCACCTAATAAACACCTAAGCCAAGTGTGAACATTCTAGCTAAATTAGAATGAGAGCTATTATGTTCCAAAGTCATGATCAATCAAATTACTTATCGCTCCGCTTACTCAGAGCAGAAAATGCTCATTATCGAACTTTGTCAAGGCATTGGTGTAATAAAACTATACGCCAAATTTCATCACTCTCACTTAATTAAAACTAAAGTTATCGTGTCCCAAAGCATCAACCAATCAAATTGCTTATCTCTGCTTACCCTCAGCAGAAAATGCTCATCTTCGAACTCCATCAAGGCATTTCCATGACCTAATAAACACCTACACCAAGTTTGGACATCCTAGCTCAGTTAGAAAGAGAGTTATTGTGTCCCAAAAAGTGTGACGGACAGACAGACGGACGGACAGACAGGCGGACGAACCCATTTTAATAGTCCCCTGCTTTCTTCGAAAGGCGGGGAACAAAAAATAAAAATACAACAAAACGACATGCAGTCCCTTTAATTTTGCAGCATGTTTTCCTCTGCGCTTTATAATCGAGGCTACCTGAATAGAGTTAAATTCCCTTTGCGCAGAAATGTCCAAAGAATGAATTCCAGCGCATGTTGTTAGCGAAAACAACATGGCTGACTTTGGTTTCTAACTTAATTTTTTGTGCGAAAAAATGTTGTGTTTTATTTAAATTACAGGATTGAAACTAAGAAAATAACAGAAAATGGTTTGATTTGAGCGATTCCATGGGTTTTAGACAAAATGTTGGCGGGAGCCTATTCGTATCCTTTGCTAACTTATAAATTCTCTTGACAAAATCATGACGTCTTCAGACTTCAGGTACAGGTGTTGCCAGTCTTGGCTTCTTTTTTTTTTGTGTACGTTACTGAATGGAATGGACTATGATCAACCTTTTATATTCGCTATTTTCATGTGTGTCATGTCTTCCTTTATGTAGATTGTTATTTTATTATGTCTAACTTTAACACTTCTTTATTGTCACAATGTCACATCATAGGTTATTTTGAAAGTTCGCAAATAAACTACCGCCCGGTACTCTAATTAATAGTACTAACTTATAACTAGTAGAATATAATTATTTATATTAAAAATCAAGAACGTTTAAAGTAGCTAAGTCTCTAACTCAATATCATCCAAAACCTTCGACAATGAAAACACGAATAATTTGTCAATTTTAATCAAAATTGGTGTTGTGGTCTTACTGGAAAAAGATGGGCTTCTGATATCCAATATTTTAAGACAAAATAAACATTTTACAATTGGTACACGAATCGTGTACCATAATGCGTTTCAGCGGAATTTGTAACAAACGACTGGAAGAACGAGGTTAGACATAAGTCATGTCAAACGATGACCCCATATCTTTATCTGGAGAACATGCGCAATAAATACTATCGGTGTAGACTGGAATAACCAGACGCTAGAGATTGCCATTGGATTGAGACTTCTGGCGTATTTCGCCGAAAATAACTGCTTTGAAAATAGATTAAAAACGGAAACGATGAATGTAATTCAGTTTATTTATATTCATATTACATTATTATATACGTTGCGACCCATTTGTGTCAATTTGTAGGTCCCAAATATTAGCGATTTAACTCCTTTAATTTGATATAGTATTTTAGTAAAAATTCTCCAATGTATGAAAACATATAGATCTAGACTGGACGCACAGGTTACTGCTGCCAGAGTAAATAATTGATGTGATATCAATAATTAATGTAGTATAGTAAGCTTAAATAAATAAACAATTTAACCGTACAAGAAAATTGTGGGTAACCTAATTTATGAAATAAGCCTATCGATTCTTTGTTGAATTTTATGTCTAAAAGAAAAATGGTCCAAGCTTTGCACCCAAGTTATTAAGCAATCAACCCATTTAAAATGGTTGTTTGAAACTAGATAACAATTCCTACCTACACACATTCAGAACACCCTGATACCACAATTGGTGTCATCATGTAGGCACTCAATATTTGCAATCAACACTTATTGTTATTGCTCATGGGAGCCTGTTTTACAAGATGTTGGTGATGACAACAGTTTGATCACCATGTCTTGGATATAGTTGAATTACGGGCCTTTGTTGACTTAAGAAATGTTACTAAATCGTGGCATTTTTTAAAATTGAACTGGCAATTCTGTTTATTGGAAGTATTTGATTGAAGGTTTCTAAATTGATGTATATAGCAGACATTGTCATGTTTCGTGGGACTACTAACGAGTTATGGCCCTTTGTTGACGAGTTAGTTGGACATGTACTGCTTCAGCATGACTCTTAGAATACTTGTTGTATTGGCAATTTGTGCTCATTTTTTTTTTACCTTACAACGAATAACAGAAAACAATATCAAACTCTAGAAAAGGAACATCTTGAAAATTTAAAATCAACAACCTATAATGTGAAGATAGATGTGCTAGCACGGGCCAAGAAGTTATCCCATGAAACAAACAAAAGAAGAAAGTAAGAGAATATTTTATGTTGTGCTTTATATTACTGTATACTTTCAGAAATGCTGAAAGAATCTTAAAATTAGTACGTGTACATAACGTATAGTTTTATCTTTGAGGTCTTATGATTAGAGATGTTCATTTATTATGACAATTAATTAAAAACCAAAAAATTACTAACTTAGTTAGACAGTCAAGTATTTTTCATGAATTGAAAAGAGGTTCTGTGAAGAAGCTTATGCTAGCCACATGTAATGAATTGAAAATCATTGTCAGTGAAACTGAATTTATTGTTTTCAATAATTCTGACAAATGATTGATTTTTCAGGGCTCAAGCTGCCAAAAGAAAAAATGAAGCATTGAGAGAGGAGAAAAGAAGGCAAGAAATATTAGCTAAACGCCATGAAGAACAAAAATCAGCCACAGAACGATTTCAGAGATCGCATGTATCACACAGTAGACCGACCAGCTCTAAAAGCTATAAATATTCAACTTCAGCGATAGAAGATGCTTTGAAATTAGTACGAGGTAGTCCACCCATCTCTCGACAGAACAATTATACGCAACATGGCGGAAGAACATCAAGTCCTTTACCAGCCGGTAACTATCCTTCCGATCCCCTTAGCCGTCCATATTTTAACAAACACAAGAGTCATCAACACCGGCCCTCATCACCATCTTCTCAGACACAAGTGCAAGATCATGCCGAGATGATGGATAAAAGTCTACGGAACTGGAATGATAGTAAAAGTCTTTTTGAACAGCAGCTTGAAGAACATCAGCAGCTTTTGTTAGACCAGCAACAGAGATCACTCTATGAGTTCAACGAAGCTATTTCTAATGAAATTGCACGCGATAGTAAAATAAATGGCACAGAAGAGAGGGAGGAGTCCCCGATAAGACATAGCGAAAGTTTATCAAGTGTTGATAGTTTAGAAGATAGCCTTAATGTAAGAAATAAACAGCAAGTTGTAGAAGACGACCCAAACTTGTTAGCTCACAATCTGATTTATCCGGTGGCACTAAGTGGTGGAGTGAAGGGTGGATTCTATTTAGAAACCAATCATGCACATCAGACCCCTAGCAAATCTGAAATTCGTGGGGTTTCTCTCAGATCAACTGTGCCGTTATCTTATTCTGACTTAACTGTTCATAATAACGTTCCAGAAACAACATTATCCTATCTGTCTCAACCTAACAGTGGCATTGGTACTGTGCCTATATCAACTAATGGTGTTAAACCTGTATTTGTTTTATCTGGTAATATGTTACAGGCTAATGTTACAGCCATTAATAATCCCTACCAACACTCACCTGATATCAATGACGAGAGACCATCAGCTCATGTCAAAACTTGGGTAGAACCGCAGAAAACTGAAGCTGTGACATATAATACTCCTGCAAATGTTTCTAAAGGAGACTATAATAATAAGATGGCATCCACAATATCTACAGCCACAACGTACAATATAACAACACCACAAGTTAAGCCTCGGACTGTTTTTAACACAAATAGCGCTAACAATGTAAATAATATGTGTACAACATCAGAAACAAATTCTTATGTATCTACGACTAGTATATCTCGTGTTTATTCTGATCCTGTTTCTCAATATTATAAAAATACTGATACACACGTAACTAGTTCTAAACTTCCAAACCCGTCTGCTACTTCTGTTGTTAGCACTCCATTAAAAACAAAAACTGTTGATAGTGTATCTAATGGTACGAGCCATATGTCTAGTGGTGATAGAAATAACGGAAATAAAAATATAAGTGGTAGTATATTAGCGGGAACATTAAATTTGGTTGAAGGTAAATTAACATCAACTAACGATGATAAGGTGAAAGTTCAACCTAAGTTTCCAGACACAAGCACACCTCAACGAGAAGCGCCGCCCAATACAAGAACAACCAACAGTAATACAACAAATGTAATTACTAGAGCTGATAGTACAGAGAATATTGTAGGTATATTAAAGAAATCGCCCAGTACTACTAGTATGAGAGATAGTATAGAGATAGCTAGAATACACAGACAAATGAGTGAAGAAATGAAAAACAGACCTAAGGTAAGAACTGTCTTTTTGTGCCAAGAACCAAGCACTATTCATCTTGTTCTTGTTATTCAAAAAAGCCAAAGGATCCACCAGTTCAGTTATAATCAACATGACACTTGACATGCTTGTTCATTGGTCAAATTCAAATCAATTTACTGACTGATTTTTGATATGACGTCACAATTCTAAGATTAAGCCTGTCTTTTCGTCTTTAACTAACTTACATTTATTGAAGTAGTACATTTTGTGCATCTGCTATACGAGTCTAATGTGTTTGTTTATGAACAATATAGTATTCTGAATTTCAGTCTGGTAAGAAGAGTGTAAGATTTGCTGATTTGAGTGATAATGAGGAGGATGATATTCTGATATCCTCATTTTCTCACCATGACACACATACCGGTATGAAAATTAATTTAAAAAAACCTAGAGGTAGATATTTCTATATAAAGGTTTATTATCGATTTATGTCCTATTTTTTATATGCCCACATTTTCATGTGGACGTATTATGCCATTGCCCTGTTTGTCATCCGGACGTCCGTCCACAATTTGTTTGTGGACACTCTACAGGTCATAATTTTTATCTGATTTTGACGAAACTTGAAATATAGGTCTATCTCCCAAAGATCTTGATTCCTTTCGATATTGGCATGTATCGGAGCATAACTTTATGGATTATGGCCCCTGATTGTTCGAAAAATCATGTTTTTAGCTTGTGGACGCTCTAGAGGTCACAATTTTTATACGCCCACATTTTCATGTGGACGTATTATGAAATATAGTTTTATCTCCAAAATATCTCGGCTGCTTTCGATATTGGCATGTATTGGAATCGAAACTTCATGGATTATGGCCCCTGTTTGTACGAAAAATCACGTTTTTAGCTTGTGGACACTATAGAGGTCACAATTTTTATCCGATTTTGTTGAAACTTGAAATGTAAGTTGATAACCCAAAGATCTTGGTTCCTTTCGATATTCGGGCATATCGGACCGTAACTTCCTGAATTATGGCCCCTGATTGTACAAAAAATCACGTTTTTAGCTTGTGGACCCTATAGAGGTCATAATTTTTATCCGATTTAAAAAAACGTTTTATTATATCCCCGTTACACCCTAAGGATGGCCGAGTTCGAATTTCGTGAAAATCGGCCCAAAATTGACAGACAAAATGGCCGCCGTTCGTTCTCAAATAGCGTAAAAATATGGTATATCAAAGTTGTGAACCCTATAGAGGTCACAATTTTTATCCGATTTTTTTGAAACTTGAAATGTAAGTTTATAACCCAAAGATATTCGTGCATATCGGACCGTAACTTCCTGAATTATGGCCCCTGATTGTACGAAAAATCATGTTTTTAGCTTGTGGACCCATTAGAGGTCATAGTTTTTATCCGATTTAAAAAACCGTATTATTATATTACCGTTCCACCCTAAGGACAGTTGAGTTTGAATTTTGTGAAAATAGACCCAAAATTGACAGACACAATGGCCACCGTTCGTTCTCAATTAGCGTAAAAATATGGTATATCAATTTTTATCCGATTTTGTTGAAACTTGAAATGTAAGTTTTTAATCCAAAAATCTCGGTTCCTTTCGATATTTGTGCATATCGGACCGTAACTTCCTGAATTATGGCCCCTGATTGTACGAAAAAATCGCTTTCTTTTTAGCTTGTTCTCTATCCATCTCTCGAAAATGTGGGCGTATCCTACCTGGCAGCCGCTGGTCATCTGATTTTGATGAAACTTGAAATGCATGTATATAACCCAGACCCAAAGATCTGAGTTTCTTTCGAAGTTATTGGATCGTAACTTCCTGAATTATGGCCCCTGATTGTACGAAAAATCACGTTTTTAGCTTGTGGTTCCTCTAGAGGTCACAATTATTATCCGATTTAAAAAAACTTTTTGAATATATCATCGTTACACCAAAATGATGGTTGAGTTCGAATTTCGTGAAAATCAGACCAAAACTGCCAGACAAAATGGCTGCCGCTCGTACACAAATAGTGTAAACATCTGGTATATCAAGGTTGTGTGGACACTCTAGAGGTCACAATTTTGATCTGATTTTGATGAAACTTGAAATACATGTTTATAACTTATAACCAACCCACAGATCTTGGTTCTTTTGGATAATTGCACATATCGGATTGTAACTTCCTGAAATGGCCGCTCTTTGTACGCAAATTGTGTAAAAGTATGTAATACCAAGGTTGTGGACCCTCTAGAGGTCACAATTTTTATCTGATTTTGATGAAACTTGAAATGTATGTTCATAACTCAAAGATCTCGGTTCCTGTTGATATTCGTGCATATCGGACAATATCTTCCTGGATTATGGCCCCTGATTGTTCCAAAAATCACGTTATTTTTTTAGCTCATTCTCTGTTCATCTCTTGCAAAATGTGGGCATATCTTGCATGGCAACCGCTTGTTCAAAGTTTAAACTTTCATGAATTTTTAAGCCACGTTCGCATTCAGCAGAAAGTGCATGTTGATCATCCATTGACAATTGAAATTCAGTAACCATGGTGACAAACTTTGTGATAGTCTCACACTGATGGATGTATATTTACGGTGGATAGAAAGTTGAACATCATCTGTTTCATTGACTTTTGGATCTTTGAAATTTACGTTAACACTACAGGGTCCATATTTTCATTGGATCTTTATAATGTTTTAAAACTAATAGATGCTTCACCTTTGTAACAAGAAGCACCTGTTGATTCTCAGCGATTTGCGACTATAACTGATATTTTTAAACTATTTCCTCTTGTTGCAACATAGTGTATTAAAACACTTGAACTTCTAATTTTTAGAAGGACTAAAAAGTACCGGTAATTATTTTACTTGTTTCACATAAAAGTTAAACTTATAAAATTGTATTATGAACGTGTTTGTTTTGTTGACAGACAAGCCATGGATAATAAATCACATGGGATGTTCATAATATCTTTTTATTTTTTTATTAAAGCTCGAGCATCATCAGCAAGGTATGTTTCAAAGATGGCGAAAGTGCCTCCATCTGCAGCCAAACCACCAAGAGCAGTAAGTGCAGGTACCCAACGAGCTGTCACATCAGAAATTACTAAACCTAAAGCTGTTGCTCATATTATCCAATCACATGAACCACCACAAACAGAACAAGCCGAAATTTACTACAAAAACTTACAAGCAGAGCTGGAGAAGAAAGTGACTTTAGTTAACAACAATTTTATGGGTAAAGTCGTCACCACACAACAGAGTCCACAGTACACTACAAATGGTAACCTGTCAACACAGGCAGTCACCAGTAAATATCAAACAAATGGAACAAAGGCTGTGCACCTCAAAATGACTGATGCTACCAAACAAACAACATTGCCAAAAAACAGTGCAAGTCCTCCCCATGCCTCTAATGTCCACTATGGTCAACCGGTTTTTGATGAAAATGGTTTACGAATTGATCGGACACCAACTGATGATGAGATCAATCAGCTATGGGAGACAGTTCGTACATGTCTACATCCCAATGATGAAGAAAGAAGTAATTGTTCCCAGGCCCAGTCCGACTCAGTTTTATTGAGTCGACAGGCTGCACAGATCTCCAGTAAAGTAATTGATGGAGGTGCACTAGGATCTATAGGTCCCCCTACACGGGTAGGATCAGCTTATCAGCCACGAACGGCCACTAAAGTGTACCAAGCTCGACAGACCAACCAGGGTACATCTAATGGTTATCTAAAGAAATATGGTTTGTTGCAACAGAGACGACAGCAGGAGAAAGTTAATTCTAAAATAAATACAGCTAAAACAAATAATTTCATGCCACAAATATCTCAGTCTAATACGTCACCTACTAAAAAAGATGATGGTAAGTTGAGGTCATATATTTTGAAAAGAGAGAAATAGGGTTTAATGTCCATTCAACACAAACTAGATCATTTTGAGACTAACATATGGTTCAATTTTACTGAAATAATTTGCTCGTGCGTATGGGTCTTTAGCACAGGGGTAACCAGGGGATCCACAAGGTTTGACAGGTGACCCTACTCCTTGTCACACAAGCCGGGAACCAAACCATTTGAAAAGATTTTACGGTCAAAATGATACTGTATACAAATAGTAATTAGGAATTCTTAATAATAAATAAGCATTTGAGCATTTGCCTCTTGAAATGGTTTTGAAAGCCATTTTAATTTAATGGTTTGCTATCTTTAAATTTTTTTGTTTCATTGATAAAAATATTTTATTAGAATTCTTTCTTCTTCCAGTAAGTGACAGTATGGCTGTGTTCATGATGGCTGAACAGCTAACCAGTAACCGATCCATACCAGAAAGTCAGATTCATCATGCCATGGATGATCTTCAGCTTAGACAAAACATAGCTAACTCTAATAATAATAAAGGTTAGTGGAGGAATATTATTGTTTGACATGATATTGTGTGACTGGAATCAAATCTTCACTCTTTACAAGAATAAAAGTAAACACAGACATTATTATTTTGGTAAACTCTGATTAAACATTTGTTAAGCATGCTTTGTTATATGACTGCAATATAGTGTCTGATAATAATTCCTGATATTAACATTTTGGTGTTGTGAGGAAAATCGTTGATATTGTGTTACACATACTTCTTTATAAATTGATTAGATTTGTGGAGAAAAATCTGTATTATTGATTAGATAATTAGATATAGGTTCTCTTATCTTTTGCTTGAAATGTTAACTTTGGTTTAAAAATGAATTTGTTTTCAAATTAACAAAGTTGAATACCAATCCTACTTGATGAATCAGATGAAATTATCTCCATAATAAAAATTTAAATATTTTTTTTACAGTGCCGTCTGCTTTGTCAATAGAAGAACAACAATTAATAGAAAGTTTGGATAGATTAAATGAAAAGTTAAAAAGTAAGTACCATATTATAGTCCTACGAAATTTTGACTCAATTTGTAACCGAGGAGACAAACATCCTTCTCCCAGATGAGAAAGACCAAACTATCTTATTGTCAGGACAAGACTGAGACCAAACTTTGTTATTGTCAAGACAGGACAATGATTTAGTCATGAATGGTGCTCATCTGTAATTTAATTCTACTTTTAAATGCCAGCCACCATCGCTATATTTTCAGTATGACTTTCTGTCTTATCCCATTTGTTCACTGTGGATGTATTTGGAAATAAAAATTTAAAAAATATATTCCCTGCACATAACCAGAATTATTGAGGACAAACAAGTAATTAACTTTATTTGGATTTGCAGTACTAAAGGAGACATTCAAAATTTAAAAAAAATTCATTTTCCTTTTTATTTACACAGCTGCGGAAAATAAACATCCACAAGTGAATCATACAACTGGTCACCAGGTTTCACATCAGGCAGCTAATATTAGTTCTAACAGTAATCAGGTAGGCTTTTATTTGTGTTTATAATAATAAGTCCATCTGTTTTTAGCTTGTGTTGTATGTACAGGTATATTAAAGCCACTGATTGTTATTTGGGGGATTCCTTGCAAACTGCAATACCAGTATTGTAAAAGTTGAAGGAAAGAAAGAGAAATGTGGTTTAACGTCAACTCGACAAAAACTAGATTATTTTTGACCTTTGAACTAACCTATAGTTCATTTTTATTTCAATAATTTGCTTGTGCGTAGGGGTCTTTGGCAGTGGGAAGAAACTGGAGAACCCAGAGAAAACCCACTAGGTTGGACAGGCAACCCTGCGCCTTGTCACATACAAGCGGGGAATTGAAACCATGCCACTTGACTCAATGATAGACATTATGATGCAACACGCACGCATTAAGCATTTGGCCACCCAGCTCCCAAAAAGTTGAAGGAATTCGTTATGTATTTACAAAGTTATGATGACTTAAAAATGTCCCAAATATGATTTTTTTCTTAATTTAATGTTAAATAATGAATCTGAGTACATTTTAGTGTGGATTAAGCTATAAAAAATTATATTCTGTCCAAAAAATGCAGATGACGATCAGTAGCTTTAAGGACATAAATTCTTTGAGCAGTAGTTGACTGTGCAGAAATGAAATTTAATCATATTATTAATCTTGGCTCATGACTAATCAACAGTGGCAGATCTAATAAGTCCAATATAGAACTTGATTTTTACCCAAGTCAAAGAGGTTCTTTTCCATTAATTATCAGTTTGGAATGTACAAAAGTGACTATTGTAATGCCTTGTTTAATAACTATGATGATAAAATAAAATACTAATTTCTTAATTAAATTTGTTTCAATCAGTTTATATACATGAACAGGTTTCCTTTTAAATACCAGGTCAAATCTGTATCATTCATCATTTTCATTTATCAGTAGTACATTTACATAAATGACATATTCAACATTTTGAAAAAACACAGTAATAGATCCCTATTCAATAGCAAGCATCTTTTGAGGTGGAAGTAAACTGGATAAAAACCATGAGGTCAGGCAGGTGTCAGTGACCCTATTCCTTGTCACATACAAATCCAGGACCGAACCTATGGCTTGCATAAATAATGGGTCTTATGATATCAGCTTACCATTTGGCCACCCCTTTAAATTAAAGCCTAGTTCACACTTGGACAAATTTTTATATTCCATAGTAAGGTTGTAATTCCAAAAACTATTGATTGTTGATATGGTCAGTACCAGTACTTTTTGTCCCCCGTCTTTCAAAGAAAGCAGGGGACTATTAAAATGGGTTCCTTCGTCCGTCTGTCCGTCCATCTGTCAGTCACACTTTTTGGGACACAATAACTCTCCTTCTAATTGAGCTAGAATCTTCAAACTTGGTGTGGGTGTTTATTAGGTCAATGCCTTGATGGAGTTTGAAGATGAGCATTTTCTGCTTAGGGTAAGCAGAGATAAGCAATTTGATTGGTTGGTGCTTTGGGACACAATATTTTTAGTTCTAATTAAGTGAGAGTGATGAAACCGGGTGTATAGTTTCATTATATCAATACCTTGACTAAGTTCGATAATGAGCATTTTCTGCTCAGGGTAAGCAGTTTGGCCTAGACTTTGGAACACAATAACTCTCCTTCTAATTGAGCTATAAGTTTAAACTTGGCGTAGGTGTTTATTAGGTCAATGCCTTGATAGAGTTCGAAGATGAGCATTTTCTGCTTAGGGTAAGCAGAGATAAGAAATTTGATTGGTTGATGCTTTGGTACACGATAACTTTCGTTCTAATTAAGTGGGGGGGTTGGATGGCCGAATGGTTAGCACGTGTGCGCTGTATTATAAGGCCTGTCATTGAGTCAACTGGCGTGGTTTCGAATCCCCGGTTGTACGTGACAAGGAATAGGTTTTCTCTGGGTCCTCCGGTTTCCTCCCACTGCTAAAGACCCCTACGCACAAGTGTATTATTGAAATAAGATTAAACCACATGTCAGTCCCAAAATGACCTAGTTTGTGTCGTGTGGACGTTAAACCCCATTTCTCTCTCTCTCTCTCTAATTAAGTGATAGTGGTGAAATTTGGTGTGTAGTTTTATTACATCAGTATTTTGACTTATGTTCGATAATGAGCATTTCCTGCTCAGGGTAAGCAGAGCGATAAGCAGTTTGATTGGTCGAGACTTTGGAACACAATAACTCTGCTTTTAATTAAGGTAGAATGTTTGAACTTGATGTAGATGTTCATTAGGTGAATGTCTTGACTGAGTTCAATGATTAACATTTTGAGCTAAAGCTAAGCAGAGCTAAGAAATTTCATTGGTCGATGCTTTGGGACAAGATAACTTTGATTCTGTCTGATAGAGAGTGATGAAACTTAGTGTATAGTTGATAATCAGTTTGATTGCTTGATACTTTTGAAAAGAATAAATGTGCGATTAATTAACATGTGTCATCTATTTATTTTGGGTTTTTCGGCGGGGGACATCAGCCTCACCGTTGTCTTGTTTTTACATAAATAGTGGCCATTCTGCAAAATTTGAAATCTAACATTTACTGTTTAGGGGAATAGTATTACCAGCATTGGACAACATTATGTTTATGGTAAAAATTTACAGTAATTTATCATTCAAAATTCATGCATTATCTCGGGACATGAGTAGATTTTTCTAATGGTCGCTTCTTTGAATTGACTGAAGATAAAGGTTGAATAATAAAAATCAACTTGTTTTTCTTTGTTAGCTATTTTATAAAAGGAGAATCAATCATAGATAACTTGGGTATAGTTCTTTATATTTGCATGGCACCATATAGTTAATTGTTTTTCCCTAACTGCATCATCTTCATGCTTTGTTTTATTATAGATCCACCATTGACTTATCAAATATTTAGATTTCCTATTTACCGTTTTTTCTGCATGATTACATTTAGCTTTATTAAATACAATAGAGAGTTTCATTAATATGATATGTAAGCCTATGATAAAGAAACAATCAATGTAGAAACCTACTATCCGTGATCTGAATAAATGAACTGAAGTTTATAATTTTCCCTATGCTAAGGAAAAAAGATTTTCACATATTTTTTTGTCTTGCTTTTTTGCTTAAAATTGACTTTTTTAGCTGACTAAAATTTGTGCTAAAAAAGTCCAGAGTAGTAGTTATGTAAAATATTGTCTTATACAAAAATATTTGACTTAAATGACGTTGTATTGCCATAATAAATTGCACTTATTCTACATGGGATATATTTGTGATTGAACATGTACTAAGATCTGTAATTGATTTTTTTGTGCCTCTTTTAATGCATGTTCAGTTTAAATATTATATATGATGTATAGAGATGCCTGCTAGAAATTATCTGATTTCTTGAGAATAATAAACTTCTCTGTTTTGTGAGATGGATTTCTTATCCCATTAGAAAAAATTGTCCGCAGGTTAAACCAATATTAAGTTACAACTGATTTAAGTTATTGAACAGACTGACTGAGAAACAGTGCAAAACTAAATGTATTCATAGATACTATAGGTCATTGTTCAATACAATTTTAACATCCAATTTATTACACATGATATGCCATGGAAATATATTATATATAGAGCTAGTTGAAGTACAACATCCGATTAACAGAATTGAATACTTTAAGTTTTTGATGAATTTGTAAACTTGTGTTTTAACCTCTTTTTGTAGCAGACAACACCTGGTTTCCGAGGCAGACGACCAATCAGTAACCATCAAAGACGACATACTGATGGTGTTAGAACAGATTATTTGTTACGAGCAGCATCAGCATATATTCCAAGACAGTACAGATAAATGATAAAAATTTTTTTATAATGTTACACTTTGCAATTTTCATGAGACAGTGTCAGTATGTATAAAAAGTAATGAATATTGATAATATGGCAAATTTCCTATTTAAAATGTAAACAATAATGTATTATGTACAAAAAGAAATTGATTTGATATTTATTAACACTCCTAAGAAATTTTTCATATCTTTCTTGTGAATATTAAACCAAGCATATTTTTGTATTAGGACTACATATATTAATAGAAAAATATATCAGTAGATATTTAATTGAACCGTCCTTGTTGTATAAGGAAGAAGCATTTATGAGTATGTTGTTTCAGCATTTCATGTTAGTCATGCATGTACATAGAGAAAATCCTAAATTATTTAACCAGCTGTTTTTAATTTATCTTCTGATAATTTAGCTTGATCAAGCATCTACAAGTTTTAAAAATGAAACTTGGTATACTCTCAGTCCGTAACTGTGGGTTATTAAGATCGTAACTATGGGTTATTAAGATTAATTGTTCTGTATGTATTGGCTCAATATATTTATGTCAGACATTTTAAAATCAATCTTAAACGATCTCAATTCAATCATCCTCGAAAACATAGCCACATTCAGTTAGTGATTGTAAAGTTACGGAACTTGATGATACATGCACCAAAATTATAGTCCTATATGTTGTAAAGCCTTTATTCTGTATATAATCTTTGAATTAATTATAAATCCTGTGTTAGTATTATTGCAGCAATATTACTATTATTGTACGCTCTAGCATTATTTGACAAAAAGCATTCATTGTTCATTTTCCATGCAACACCAAAGACTTACTATCATATGACAGCATTTTTGTGATAAGACTATTCTGCTTTAGATTGTATGAATTGTCATACATCAAAAAATCATAGTATTGTATTATAATGGATGATTCTGGGCAATTTCTGGCATTGTAGTGTCCAGAATACTAATAGACCTTCATTTGTTACGTTTAGATAACAACTGTTGGTACAAGGTGGAATATTGGATAACTCATGAAAGCAACAATGTAGTGTGCTCAATACGAGTGGTTTGTTCTCCGACTGCGATGTTCATTTGTGTATATCCAGATGTCTTGCTCACAGGAACCTAGTGTATAGGTGCAAAATGTTCAGGAACTCAGAGGTCTTGGGGTTAAATCTAATCTAAAGCAGTTTGTGTTCACATAAAATGCCTAATAATTAGTCACAATATTTGTATTATTTAATGCAAGGAAACCACAATCTGTATTATATTAAGTAGTATTATATAGCCTATTACCAGCATCATATTATTTCAAGTGCCCTTCTTGTAATGAATCTTCTATTTCTGTTACATTAATACTTATATTTATATATCTTATACTGATACATGTATTAACTATTGATTTAAAGGGAGAATGATTGGTTTAAGTCTTTTACTTGCAGCTTTCAATTTTCAAGCTATGAAGGAAGTAGGCTTTAAGGGGACATTTCACATCAAAACCATAATAGTGTGTTTAGATTTAGAAACTTGCAGTTGTTTGTTTCAAGAATTCTTGATGTTACAAATACACTTTCAAAGATTTGTGAATGACAGCCATTGACTTGATATATGTGTTATTGTTAAATGTTATACAAATTAGCATTATAGTATTAATTTTAAAATAATTGCAGATATATTTATAGCTGACATTTTAGCAATCATGCAATGAAAACAATTCTTTATAATTATAAGTTAATGTTTTCGTCAGAAGGGTCTTAATATGAGAAGGGTGTCTAAAGTTCTCATTCGTTGTCTTCTCTTTTTAACCATTTTCCAAGCTTTATGTGCTTTTGTTTACAGTTCGATTTTTTAGAACTTTTTTTTAGATGTCAATTGTCTATCCATGTTATTAGTCTGATTATATAAATAGATAATTGATGTATACAATATGTTAAATTAAGTTAATAAACAAAAATTGTTTGTAAATATACCATTCCTGATATTTGTTTCTAATAGATTTTTTGTTCTTTTTCTATGTATAATTCAACGATAGAAGACATATGGGTACATATAACTGTAAAAATAGACTATATATTTCTATATTTTAATGAAAAATAACCTCTTCTTTTATAAATATTAATAATTAGTACAGGTGTATATTGTTAGTCAAATTGTAAATTAATACATTCTTGATATAGCTCTGAGAAGTTTGAGAACATTACTGAGTTACACAAGCCCAGATCCATAGGACAGAGCAACCAAAAGTGCACATTACAAATAAATCAAGACAAATTATTTTTTGGGCAAATGCTCTCTTCAGCTGAGCTTTGCACCATACCAAACTAAAAGCCAAATAACCTGCTCATCAATCAGCCTTGTTAAATTGAACAGAAATGTAAAGAATGAAAAATAATGATAGACTTATACATAAAATACTGAAATGCCTTTCAGTTAATTTGTTTTAATAGAAGTTCACAAACTTGAACCAAACTTTATTGAATTTTAATTAAATTAAGATTGAATATTTAACTAAAAAATTATTTATCATAGATAAGATAACATTATACCTAATATATGATCCAATAAAAAGATAAAATTCTTTGGCAATTTATCTGTGATATTGTTAATATGTGCCTCTATTTATTGTCAATAAACAGTTATAGGTACATGCAGATGTTTTTGTTTTTTTAATTTTTAAAGACGGAATCATACAAGCAACCCCAAGGAAAGCCACAGATATGATCCAGGTCCATAGTCATGAAAGATTTAAGAAATCTTGTATGTTGTTATTAGACCCAGTCATGATTTGAGTTTGTTCATAGTGAGTCAATAATATTGTCGGATATCAAGGTGTGAATAAAATTAAAATTTTATGAACAGGATTCATATTGTAGAGCATATGTATCGGAATCCTATAACTTAGAAAATGTTAATATCTTTTATGTATGACTATTTCTGAGATGAATGCTGTACACAATTTCTCTAGTCATGGAGTAGAAAATGAAAGTACCAGGCTGGCGTAAACCTGTACTTCATTAGATGGGTTTGTGCAGAAATGAAATGGGGTTGAACGTCCTACTGTTCTGCTCCGAAATGGGCTAATGAAGACGGGCATACGCCATTCAGTGTGCTAGGAGGGAAATTTTGCCTGGACAGCGGCACTACGACCTACTCTTATATCAAATTCCAACTGTCAAGGGATCTTTTACATGTACGCCAATGTGTACATGGGTCCTCGGTTTTTCGGCCCATACGAACGACTGTACAGCTTTCATGGTCAGGCCCTCCGCTATGGCTCAATGACGAGGGGGAACCACGCCGGAAAATCTGGATGAACTTTCTCGCTCAATGCGGGGATCCAACACCCGACCTCCAGGCTAGCAAGCCAGCGTCTTACCCACTTGGCCTCCGTGACCCTTGTGCAGAAAAGTTGGAGGTTAAACCCATAGAGATTGATTGGGAATAAAAGGTGGCCTAGGTTAAATTTAGTTTCTCCATCAAGTTGGAGGTTAAACCTTACCCACTTAGCTTCCATGACCTCCCTAGTGCAGAAAAGTTGGAGGTTAAACCCAGAGATTGGTGGGGAATAAAAGGTGGCCTAGGCTAAATTTAGTTTCTTCATCAAGTTGGAGGTTAAACCTCATTTCATTTTAAACCCATAGAGATTGGTGGGGCCCAGGCTAAATTTAGTTTTTCCATAATAATAATAATGAGGTTTTATATAAGCATCTTCCCCATGTTGACACACGCTCAAAATGCAGTAATTGTATTCCATAGAATTGTGACCTGTATATTCCAGTTCAATTACCAAATGCCATTGAAACAATTTATAAATCCTGTACAATTATCATTTACACTTTAGAAATTAGGAATTAACTCCCTTGAATGCAATAAATCTTAATCAAAATTTTTCTCAGATGCGAACAAAAGCCTTTTCAAGGGCTGAGTAAGACTGTTTTGTAATGTATGTTTCAAATTCAAACAATATCCACCTTGCGAATCTGCTTGGTGTAGATTTACAAAAGCTGTCATTAAAATCTAATATCTCCATTCCACAAAGTCTTAAAGCATTTCGATCATTTAAGTTACCAATCCACTGTAATATACATTACCTGGTGGGAAATACAGAACCTAAATACAATAATAAATAAATTATTTAATAAATTAATTATATACTATAAATACAAAAATATACATTATAATACATTTATAGGACCTATTATAATAATAACATTATATTAACAATTATATGATATAATTATGTTCTAATTTTCAGGTTTGGACGCAAATAGTTTATGTGTGGTTGGTCAATGTGCATTGTGCAATACATTAATAATTAAGCCATGTTCTTCTATATGATGAGTGTTTTCATTTTATTATGGACAATATTCTATGGTAGTTTCATATACTAGCCACTGCTTGAATCTCTTCAGTAGATCAAAATTATCTCATTGCATTAAAGTACAGATGTTCCTAACAATTGTTTCAAATACTGACACAGGCAATTGTGCCAATCGTAAATTATTTATACAAGAGGGCAAAAATATTGGCCTTCTACACATAGTTAAAATAAATAAATACATTGTTACTACGACAACATTTTACATAAGGCACTTGTTTCTGAACACATGCTTTTACCAATAATGAAACTATTTAACCTGAGTGATTACACTAATAAATATATATGTACGAATAATATACTTTTATTTATTTTTAGTTGATAAATCAAACAATCCTTTCTAAAAATGTGCTTTAATCCCCTAGATATACTAGTCTTCTAAATTGGAAATCATGTCAAATTATTAAAGTTTTTTTGCCATGATAATGTGATATATTTCATAATTAATTCTTATTAAACACTGTATGTTATGCTTATTTTCTAGAAAAATGAAAGGGCTATAACCTGATATTAAAATTGTTTAGTCAAATCTATTTAAAGATGCCTTCCCATGTACAAACTGGGTGGATATGATGGTATATCTTGATTAAAAACATATTCAAACTAATTAATGTATCAAAAATTTGCTCCAACTCTAAGTCCCTCTCAAACATTGTATTTGTGAGGAAATACCCCAAGCTATAAAAAAATCTAAATAAAGAATCCATATTTGTGTCACGTGACTTCGCCGTCAACGAACCAACTCAAGGCTGCCAAGCCGAAGGAGAATTCATTGCATATAAAAGATGATATTGTCTTTAATCGCTGCCCATTTACCATAAATATTGAAGCCTAAGTAAATTCTGGTATGGTTCCCTGTCCTCAGAATCTGTTTCACCTTTTCCACGTTCGCTCGTGCAAACAGCCTTACTGGTCAGACTGACAATTAGTGACCCAGTTACATTCTTGTCCTGATCATGCTCCATTGATGTTTTTCAGGGTATCCAGTATTTTTCTAGTAAGATTGGGTGTCTCTACTTTCCACACTTTTATTGGAAATAACCACCTGATACTTTTGTTGGAATGTATCTTTAAAAGTTTGCACTGCTTATTTTACAGCCTTCATTCATACTGAAAGTTCAATGTAAATTTTCTACTAAACTTTATAGCAGGCAGTTCAGCTTTCAACTCACTGATATACATTCCTGGGTAACTATTTACCATTACAATTTATGAGCACTTGGTCATGATCAAAAAGTGCAGAAATTAGGACGTTAAACCCCATTTCATTTCATTTCATGACCAAAAACTGTTGCAGGTGTTTTGATAATTCATGACATCAAAAATAACTTGTGATGCAGATGATTTGGTACCTAATTGGATAAATAAAACTACCATCCAGCAGTTGTTCTAAATGTTAGTATCAATAATACTAATACATGTATGTAATTATGAAAATACTACTGCACATAAATCATATTTATTAACAGGATATGTTTTAAAATAATTTAGTGGACGGTGTTTGAAATATTCCGTATAGCACTGATAAGTCATGGAAAAATATCACAAGTAAAAGTTTTAGTTAAGATAATATATCAGGATTTCAATGGAAGAACGACACCTTGTTTTTGTAACATGCGTATCACATTTAAAATTGAATCAAGTTCTGTCCTAAATTTTTCTATTTCTAAATTTTTCATTTCAACTATTTTCTTCCACTTTTCGGCTTCTTTGTCTAATTGCGTTGATGCAATATTTTGTGTGTTTTTAATAATATCTTGTAATTCTTCTTCACGTTTTTCATGTCGTCTTTCCATCTGAGTTATCTTTTCCTGAATGCTTACAAAATGTTTCATGCCCTGTAAAAAGACAACAGTGATAGGTCAAATTTACAAGAGCAGATTATTACAATTACAGAAATATTTTATTGAGGTGTTGCAAAAATTAAATACCACGCAATCAATTACCAAAATTATTAGCTATTTGAACTTCTCAAATAAATGTTAGGGTGCTTCACAGCCTCAAGTACTGTTACAGAAACATTTTCTCTGAGGTGTTGCAAAAATCAAATACCATGCAATCAATAACCAAATTTTTGAATTTCTCAAATAAATGGTAGAGTAAACATACTCGGCTTTGTAGAAAACACCTCAGAGTACAAAGAGCTGTATTTATACACGCAGCCACAATGTATTCAACGAAATAAAAACAGAATGGAAGCTTGTCCGGCCTCATAATACACCCATCACCAGCAAAGTCATCTCTGAGCTTGCTCCAGAGTTGATGTCGACAAATTCTGCATTATAAATTCTGTGGGAAGCTTGAACAGTCAAATGTGAACAGAACGATAACTCTGTGAAATGCTTTCCGTGACTTCCTTAATAAGTAAAATGGTTAATTAAGAAAAATCCAATTACCGGAGTATAATTACGCTTTGCATCTGCTAACTGATCCTGTAGTTTTTCAATCTGTGTTTGTAATGCTGTTTTTTCAATTTTTAATATTGATATATGTTCTGCATCTACTTCATTCTTAGACAGCTGTTCTTTCAGATGGTGAATTAAAACCTGATTAAAATTATAGAGGAAGTATAAAAAATCAATTTTAATAAAATATTGCTGTAAATTAGCATTGTTCTACAAATTGAAAACATGTATGGCAACTGTTTAGGGGGTTAACTTTTTTTATTTAATTATTTCTGTATTTTTGTAATCGGATTTTAGCTTTAAATTATTTACACAAATCAAATATTATTATACCTCTTGAGCATCACATTTACTGTGTAATTCAGCTACTTTAGATGTAGAATGGCTTATAGCTTGTTCTGATAATATTCTCTGGAATTCTTTCTGGTGACTTGATCTTAGTGTATCAATCTAGGATATAAGAAAACAACCTAGAAATATTAGCATAAATCACTAGTAAGAGGACCATATCATACAGCTCAATACAAATATAGAAAAACAGATGTTGTTGGTCTTATTAAAATAAGACCTTATTTATATCCAATAACCGAAGAGGGGATTTTTTTTTTAAAAAAAGAAGATATAAACTATTTAAATTTTTGTTCATTCCATTCTAAAGGCAAGAGGATATTTTACCTTGTCTTCATATTCTTCTCGACTTCTTCTAACAACAGCCTCTGTTTCTGCTAGAGATTTTCTTAAATCGACTCTCTGTTGATCTAAACTTAACTGTAGCCTTTCAACCTATTCAAATTATGTATATATACAGTATTTTTTAAACAACTAAGCTCAATAAAATCTATGTATTATTCCGAATTTAGTAAGGATTTAATGCCAGATTGGGGAATCTACATGTAACTAAATTGTTGTATAAGAGGGTTCAATTTTCGGGATACTCATCTGATCAAGGGGGTTTACCTCATATTTACTAGGTTTCTATAGATAATGAATCAATTTAATAAAAATAACAGTCCTTGTCACTTTCTTAAAAATATCAATAATAGATCAAACTAATTTTAGTCTTTACCTTGTTTTTCAAATATTCATTTTCTTTCACAATATCTGTTATATTAACATGTGAGTTATAATGATCAGATGATGATTGATGTAATATATTATCTGTTGTAGTAACATCAATACCATTCTCTTCTAATCTCTTTACACTCTTCTTACTTTTACCTTTCTTTACATCTGTACAAATATAATAATATCAACTAATACAGAGCCTTAGAGAGATAAATAGATTGAGGGTGGGGGGCACAGATTTCAGAATTGTATATTATTTGGGATGTTGCAAAAGTCATGAGAATGGATCTGACAGCACTCTAAACGTCACTTGATAGATTGAAGAATCCCTGTGAACTTTTATATTATGAAAATTGAATTTCTAACAGAAATAACACTCAAAAAAAAAAGGTTGTATCCAAAACAGATTGTCTACTGTTTATATTTTCACTTTGTTTCCTTAAGTAAACATTAAATATTTTGAGTATTTTTCCATGGATTAATTTGATATTTTCCTCCAAAACTTGTCAAGTGATACCTAAAATACCCAATATAGAAGATCGGTTGTTGCATGCAGATTGCAGAAGAAAGAGTGCCAAAATGAATTTCCAGTTGATAATGCGCTAAATATAGGGGAGATAAACATAATTACATTTTCAACAAAATAGAAACAACTATGTTATAAACAATATATAACTAATAATTATCAATGTCTTCAGAAATGGTCACATTTGATGTGCTAAGGGAGGTAATTTTGGAAGGAGAAAATTCACATAAAGGGAAAGTGTAATTAAATTTGAAACAAATTAACCAACCTGTATTATTTTTACCAACTCCATTAATCATATATAGATGTTTTTCTTTCCTTAATTTTTCTAAAGATTTCTGGAGAACCTGGATGTCATGTGATTTATTTTCAACCTCTCTTTGCAATTGTAAAACTTGTAGGCGTAATTCATTTTCACTTGAATTATCTAATTTGTATGTATCTGGAAAATAAACACCATTTGGTATTTATAATAAACTAACCATATTCAAACATGCTTTGCCACTTTCTGCGTAACGGAGAGTGAAATTTTAATGGGAAGTTACAGCCCGATTTTCAAAAAAATCAAACTCATCTGTGATTGTTGTCTTATAAACATACCGGTATATTTGAACAGTAATCATAACCAGATAAACATTTTGACCTCCACAAGCTATGTGGGTGATTTTCATACAATCAGGGGCAATAATCCTGAAAGTTAAGGTCCGGTATCAAGCCAATAATCGAACCCACACAAGATATATGAGATGTAAACATATATATATATCTAAAGTTTCATCAAAATCGGATAAAATTATGACCTATAGAGTTTCCCTAAACACATGTGATCGGTCACCCGGACGTCATATGGGCGACGGCGATAACATAATACGTCCTCATGTTAGTATGGGTGCATACAAATTTTGAAGTGAAAGTCCTAATCACAACCCCAGAACAGTTATCAATAATACTTACTTAATCCATTAGTTTTCTGTGATTTTTGTAGTTCTGTTTGTAATTGTAATATCTGTGATTGTAATTCTGCTATTTGTTTTCTATATCTATCTCTAGTACTATCTAATTCCTTCTGTAAAGCTCCTACGTGTGTATGAGGATGAGGATCACCTGGGTTTTCAATAAAACGAGATAACTGGGATTCTAAATCATAAATTCTTTCTTCAAACTGCATCTGTTAAATAACAAAAAAAGATTTAAAAATGGAAGTCAATTAAACATTACACATGCTACAGTAATAATTTTGCAGTGAATACAAAAAAAAAAAATCATCATTCTTTATTTTTGAATTTGTAAGCCAGAATAAAAGTTACATATAGAGTCCAGGCCATTTACATGTACAATCAAAGATAATCTTAGCAAAAAGCTACGTTATGACCACTATAATTAGTTTCTGCTGATTTGAATCAAATCATAATTGTAAGGGCTACCCAGTTCTTCGAATAATAACATTCTTTATACCAAATAATAATTAATAATAATAATCTATTTATAAAGCGCTGAATATCCAACACACGAGTCGCTCATGAATGTACTTTACATAAAAATCATTAAAAAATAAAAACATCATGACACTATAAACACTTGACAACATTGAAGGAACGAACAGAATAAATGTCTGGACTGATAACCATTGCATCTGAAGAGTGGTTAACCTTTTTTTCACAATGAGTATGTACTGGAAATACAAATAACAAATACACTTTAATTTTACCTTTACTGCATTATATTTTTGTTCCATGCCTCGTAACAACTGCTCACTTTCAGAATCTTTACTAGCTAATTCACCTTCTAATTTCTTAATTCTATTTTCTAGGACTAGATTAGTTGGGGTCTTTTTATCTGGGATAGAATCTGGTACAGCACCAGCAGCTAATATCATGGCGGGTAATGAATTAGGATGACGTTTTCGAATAATCTGATCCATTTCTCGCACCTAGATAAAGAAAAATAACAGATCCATTTGAATATTCCTGTTACATTTAAAATTCCATGAAACATCTAAACTAAAATTTATTCTGTGACTTACAATTATTAAAAGTACCGTAGAAGATATCTCAATGATTACACTTTTCAAAACATGAAATTTCTTTATACTTTGACAACATGAATGAGAAGTTTAAATACCTGTCTTTCTAGATCTTGTATTCTCCTAGCATCAGCTGCTCTTTCTTTAACCCGTAATTTATTCTCTTCTAACTTTTTGCCAGTCTAAAAGAAAAAGACCATTAACCCAACACAATTACATCGACTCTGTAACACTATAAGACCCAATGCACCATTGGCATTTTTTCTAAAACATCAAATTTCTTATGACTTAATCCACGCTAATATTTAACATTTAATGAAGAAAACAAAATCAAAATACCAACGCTATTTTGGATTCAACTGGATTTAAAAAAGGCCTATCAATAAATTTTCAGACAACGAAATGGCAGCATTCTTATTTGCATAGCGAGCAGAATAGATCGATGAAATTCCAATTACACATATCTTTGTAAATACTGAATGCAATTGAACCATTTTTGGACTGATATTCATATTAGAGATTCATCTTTCACAATAGTATAGTTTTCAAGTGATTCTATAGCACTAAAATGACGCATCAAGATTATAATTTTAAATGCATATTTTTATTAATTCTATTAATTCTCGTTTATAATATCAATTCCAATCTTAGCAGTTTAAATTACAGAAGATATTACAACAATTAGTTCAATTATAACATACCTCTGTTTGTAAATCTTCAACTTGTTTCTTTAGTTTTTCTATAGTTAAATCTTTAGTTTTAATTGTTTTAGCACCTATATCTAACATCTCCTGATTTTCAACATACCATTTTAATTTTCTACTTAATTTCTCTATTTCCTGTTTGTATTTTTCTTCTAATGCCTATTATACAATAAAATGATTACAGGCAAGGATTTGCAAAAATTATTCACATATTAATGTTAAAGCATTCATTCAAACTTAAAAACGAAACTTTAAAAAATAACTAAAAATAAAAAATCCTACTTATTACATGCCATATATCTACAGCTCTGAACATCCAACCAACATAACTAGATTTTATAATCCTTATTTCACTTTCAGATTCGCTAAATTGTAAATCTAAGTACAGTAGTAGCTACTTACCCTGGCATCTTCAGGTCGTAAAGTTTTAGCTAAATCAAGTTGTTTCTTTATATCTTCTCTTTCTCGTATTAAAGTATCTATATGCTGTTCTAATTCTATTTTAGTATTCTGTATAGTTTTTAGTTCACGTTGTAACATATCATACTGTTTCTATAAACACCAATATTATCAATTATCTTTGGTGTATTATAAAGTTAAGGCACAGTGTAACATCTGAATAAAGTTGGGGTGGGGGCCAGGGTGTAACATTTGAACAAAGTTAAGGTGGGGTTAGAGGCTGGAATGTTAACATCTTATGATCAATAAAGGGGAAGTTCCAGATTTCACAGGATATTTGTTAATAAAAGTTGGTGTACCGAAAAGTATACAAATCAAATGCCAAATATGAAAAATCAGTCCAAATAGAGTGTCTGATATTTCATCTCACAGCTTATAGAAAGTGTTCACTAGATTTGATTACGGTGGTTATGTAACTCATTTAAGGAATTCCATTGGTCAACTATTTGAGTGATTTGGTTATCCTGATGAGATTAATCACTTTTAAGATTCTAGAAATTACTTGGGAGTAGCATGGAATCTGGGGACAATGATCAAAACCATATTTGTATTTCTGGGGAAACGTATCACAGAGCTACAGATTGGGTCATGGATAAAACATGGTGATATTTATGTTTTCTGATTAGTTATTTCCAGGCACCCTTTTTCGAATTTCAGAGGTTAAATGATCTTTAGATGCATATACAATTTGTACATGGGAACTCAGCTTTTTATAAGCATCATCCTAATTTAGCAGAAAGAAAACTTTACTAACCGTTGCTTCCTTTAATTCTGATTCTAACTGTGCTATTTTACCAGCTCCTAGTACAGCTTGATTAGACATACTAGAAGTCGATGTTTGACCACCTGCTATCTCTTGTTGAGCTACAACACTTGTTATAGTACCTTTATGTTTTAACTCATATTCTTTCTGACTTAAGTGTTCTCTGAAAATAAATACAGTCTTAAAACCCATAAACAGCCACAATTAAGATATTAAACAATTTTAATAATGAATTTCTGAAATAAAGAAATGGATTTCAAAGAAAGTCAAATCCGTGTACAATACTTCAGGCCTTTTGAGACTGGTAATTCTTATTTCTGTGATCATACATGAAATGCAAGAATCTACCCATCGTTACATCTTATCCTTGATAGAATTACAAAACATCTTTCATATAAACTAACAATATGTACATGACTTAAAAGAGATAATTTCCACAAATTTATGGTACAATCATCTTTATTTCTGAATACAGTGGATTGTCAATTCCGATTGGTACAATATGCCGGATTACACAGCATGTCAGAATACCCAATTGCCTCAATACCGGAAGTATTATTGTACCTTTGAATACCGGAAGCATTATCATAATGATTCCTCGAATTCCAAGAACTTAAAATATGATAATGCTTTCTGTACATTCAAAACTTTATTACATTATATCAAACAAATCCATACGGGCATGCTTTGCAGGACGATCACGTGAGAAACTCAAATCAAATACCAAGTGCTCTCTTACCAGAGATTAATAAAATTATCAAGGTAATCAACAAAGACCGATACGTGTTTTATGCTCACAGATAATTGATTGGTGGTTGCTTGTCGGTTAACACCCACTGATTGAAGGTCGGATTATCTAATGTTAATTCAATGGAAATCGTGTGACGGGACCTCTGATTGATGTCATAATTTGGAATATTCAGAATCCGGACTACTGAAAACTTTTTTGGTTGAAGTAATAAAGAAATAAATCGGGACATTAAAATGATGACGGATTTCACAGAATGCCGTAGTATTCAGATGTCGGAAGTGACAAAGTCCACTGTATACAATGTAGTCATAAGAAGACAAATTTTACATAGAAATACAACTCTCTACCTTAGTTGACTAACTTCTCGAGCTAATTTCTGATTTTCTTTGAACATCGAACCTTCCGTGTCTTTAGTATTTTTATCTATTTGTTTAACTTCATTATAGAGCCGTTGATTTTCTTGTTGATATCCAACTATTAATGTTTCCTGTTCTTTTATTTCTTTTTCTAATTTGTTTATTCGCTCTTTAGCTACATTATCCAGATCTTCTGTTATTTGTTTTCTATGTTGTTCTTTATGTTCATCATCTACCTGATTCTGTACAACAATACATGTAATTATAAAAATTAAAAAAAGTTAGTTGGTTTGAGGTCACAGAACTGAATTCTCAATCCTATGAACTGCGAGAATCAAGTAAACTCGAGAATATTGGGCAAACATTTCTCCACTACAACTGAAACAAGTTTGCTATATTGCAAAATCTGGCACTCAAAATGTTTTTGTCCTTAATCTATATTTCCCTTAGATAATACATATTTTTAATCTATTTTTAGATACATTACTTAAATGTCAATCAATGCAGTCATATGTAGTTATCAAGGTGATAATGACACTAACAGAAAATGGTATTAGATCTATATGGAACATTCACTCACCTTGGCAGCTAACACGAAATTCTCTTGTTTAAGTTTAAACAATTCTTTCTCATGTTCCAATCGAAAGTTTTCCATTTCCTGAGCATGTTCCTGTCTCATTGATGTCATGTCCCCTGTAAAGTGATCAAAATGTATTATTGGTCAATCTTTGAAAATTCAACTTGTTTTCTTGTTGATGGTTTCAGGATTACCTTACTAAAAATCACAATAAGATTTCATTGAACTGATGGATACAGTTAATATTTAAATATAGATAGTGGAATACTGGTAAGTTTATTTCATTCATTTTTATGATCCTACCTACCTTTAAGGGTGACATTTTCCTTTCTAACTTCCTGCCATTGTTGTTGTAAATCTTTAAGTTCTTGTAATAAAACTTGCTCTCTATTTAAACCACCAGATTTATCTAACTTAATACTAGATGACTGAGATGGTTCATCTTTTGACCATTTTGCCTAAAATATTATAAATCATTCTATGTATATAAATGGTCCACAATATTGATATCTTGTCTATATTTGCAAATACACAATTTTTGTTGCTGCATAGAATGTTATAATATCTGTTTGTTGTGTGGAATGTTATAATATATGGTTGCTGTGTGGCATGTTATAACATCTTGTTTGTTGTATCGAATGTTATAACAACTGTTTGTTGTATGGAAAACTATAATGTTTGTTGTATAGAATGTTCTAATATAATATGTTGTTTTTTTGGATGTAATGTTATAACATCTGTCTGTTGTAACGAATGGAATGTCCTAATAATTAATTTTTGTGTGGAATAATAACTATTTGTTGTATAGAATGTTATAATATATTAAAACTAAAATAGATTTGTTGCATGTTATAACATCTGTTTGTTGTGTGGCATATTATAATATCTGTTTAATTTTAAGAATTTTCCTTCTTTGTCAAATATATTAAAACTAAAATATATTCCAATTTGGCATTTTCACAAAAGATTTGATTGACAAATAACTTCAACAATTTACTCATTTTTCAATTATCAAATGGTCAAGAGCTACTTACCCCAGGCAAATCTTTTCCATTGATCTGATCTTTAATATATCTTGTAAATGAATCTACAGATGCCAAGAGTTGCTTTTGATCTTGTATCTTTTTGTCACCTTGTTTCACATTTTGAGATTTAGATGATGCTAAGATAAGTAATTTCATAAAATCATAGTATTTAATAGCGTAATAATAAAATAATGATAAATTCAATTAAATCACTCTCAGTTCTATTATGAATGGAAAATTGATATTTAATATAATATGCCTTTAATATAAATGTATAAATCAACACTTGTCATGTATATAGAAAAAGTGTTGATTGACACTGGAGAATATGTCAGTTATGAAGCTCAATGAAAATCCTTTACAAGATATTTTTAATTCTTACCTTTTTTACTGGGTTTCTGTCTAGTAACATCTGGTGAAGACTGACTAAGTTTTTTGGTTCTATCAGAGAGAGGTCGTATTGGCGATTTTGTTGGGGATCGTATTGGTGACACAGATGGTGATTTTCTACCATATCCTGAGCTCTGTATATTACCATATTTACTTCTAGATTTACTTCTCCCTATTAATACAAATTATAACTACACCATTCTGTGAATATATATATATAATGTTTTATTTAACTTCAATCCAATTAAAGATACATTATGTAAGATTTAGATAAAGAGCTAGTCATTCTTGCTATAATAGTTCGAAAATAGATAATGCAAAATGAATAATTTGAAAATTTCATTCAAATTACTCTATTGCAAGCGAAGATATTAGCCTTTGAAGGTTAGACAAGAGGTGTGCAATAATTTCAACCACTGGTTGTTCGAAGCTAAGTCTCGCTCCTACATTTTTAGCTTAAATCAAAATATGGCTGAACTGTTCTAATCTATTTAATATCGGAGAATTCCGATGCCATCAAGAGTTGATTATAGCCTGGATCAGTTAATTAATGTCTAATTAATAATTTAGAAAACATTTCAGGCCTAAAGAAAGACCTGCAATAGGCAGATTTAGGACTTGCATAATGTGTGTTTAATTTGTATACAACTCAAATAACAAACTGTGCAAATCTGGTCAAAATAGCATTGTTTGAATAAGAACTGAAGTCATGGTTCTCATTTTATAACTCAATGTTTTAGTTTCAATATATACAGTGTGAACGTAATTCCTTACATATAAAAAATGGAATATGATTCACTGTTAAATTATAAACTTTAAAGAGTATCTTACCATGATCGACTGCTTGAGCTGAAATGGTATTGTGTAACTTCTCCTTCTTTTTTTTGTCTCTAACTGACTGGAAATAAAGTAGTATTTATCATACATGATGAATCATTTTTGACTTAAAACAATATGTTTAGTAACATATATTCAGAAATACAATCTAAAATTTTAAAAAACTATAAATCTAATATATCAAGAACTGCAATCTAAAATATATATTTCTGAAAATTAAATGAATTACCATATGATATTCTGTGCCTATAATCCAAATCTTCTGACTGTTACCTGGTCTTTGATGTGCACATTTTCAGGAAATTTAATTTTTGCACAATTTATTATTTTTTAGTACATTCAAACACTAAAAATGTAAGAATCGTCATGAACCTTATAATAGATAATAAGATCCATGGAATCGTATGATTAAATTGCAAAATAATCCAGCTTTTCGAAAATGTGAGGGGTTGTTATTTCCACTGAGGGATTAGGAAGTGCCACATCTGTCCATATAGCCACCAGAAGCCAGGGAACGGTCATAGATTCAGAATATTTTGCCTAATAGTGGGAATAATACCACAAAAAAACTAAACACAGCGGTTCTATGGGAAATACACCAAACTTATAACATTTCTAATTCTATTTAGGCATCAAATTTACAAATTCATAATTATAGTATATAATAAGTGATTAAAGATTTTCAATTAACCTCTACAGTGCTATATTTGTCAATTAATAATAAATCATACAGATTACACTACAGGAGTACTAGTGGTTATTGCCGTTACAAGAAAAACCAACGGGTGTGTGTTTATCGGAGCAGCTCTACATCAAATACAGTATTACATATTAGTCTAACTTGTTTACAATTACCTATCCATACTTTTTTTTCATTAGTGCAGGCCTAAAAATAAGCGAGTGTCAAGAATCTGATTAAGGATTCTCACTAGCCTAAACCTCTGAATACTTCATTATTCCATGTAAAATATTTTCTTAAAATTCACAGCCATTATTCAATAAATGAACTCGAATTCTTTCAATATTTCATTATCATCTTAACTGTAGGAGTTTCAATTCTTTATAAAATAACTGATTTGTGCGACTCTTTCCAATTATGCAAAAATTAGCAAAAAAAACTAAAAAAAACCTGACATATTACAATTAACATGTTAGCAATGAGTTACAAATAATTAATGACAAATGTGAACCACACTTTGAAGTACTTACTCCTCTAAAATCATAAAAATCACCCTAAATAACAACATATAATAAATTAGTTAAATAAATACATCATCAGTGGGGTTAATTCCTGATGATGCTCAACTGATTATTCCATATCTTAAATTTGGAATTCTGCAATGTTACAATGAACTGTGCTTGTCAGGGCCCCAAATTTAACAATAAGAGAATTATAACCATACCGATGCTGTGCACCGCAAACTGTTTCGCCCAGGACAAGCGTCTGACTTATGTTTTAATGGAATTGTTCTTCATTATACTTGAATGAAAAAATCCTACCGGGTTTTCAAAATTTCTATTTAGAACTCTGACCTGCAGGGCATTTACAAGATAAGAAACTAGAACATAAATGGAGGAATAACTCTGTGATTAGACTAGCCTCCAGTGATTAGACTAGCCTCCAGTCTATGGTCATACTAGTTATCTTTACAATTTGTTTCTTATTTTAAGAGTATAACTGAACATTTAACATGTTAATAAAGTACAACTTAAGGTTTTTTTGGTTTTTTTTTTAAAAATTACGTCTTAATTTATTTCAATTTATATCTCACCACAGCAGTAACAGGCGGAGGATGAAAGACTTCGGTATCTTCAGTATGTGAATGATCAAACCCACCTCCATCTATCTTTGAATCGTCTATACCAGATGATTGTGAACCTAAAAAGATAATACATTTAAAGTAGAATCTGTACGAGCAGTCACTCGTATTTAGCAACATCTCCTTGTTAAGCGATACAAATCTCTGAGAATGATCCCTGGCTCCTCTAATCAAAGCAGTCTTTCTCAATACATGTACACTTACAAAACTTGCAAACTGCGACACACAACACACAGTAAATGCTTCCCTTTTAGACATGTCACTCAGGTTTGAAATGTATAACTTCCAATACCAAAACAAGATATATAAAAACTGAAGTATGTAGTGAGATTTAACATGTTATTCACACTACTTGAGTCTAACCATACTGTAATTTAGCACATCAACCATAAAAAGAAAGCTGTAGTACCTTATGATAATAGGATTAAATTTAACAAACTCATCTTTTAATATTATTTCTTGTAAATAAACTCAAAATTCTGACAATTGGAGAAATGTTGTTGAATATCATTACTTTGTTTTTCAAAATGTTTTAGTTTATATATTGTAAATTTAAATAGGGTGATAAATTTACCTTTTTTATGTTGAGCTTGTATATTTGGTTGTGTTTTATAATCTGATAATAACTTGAAGTCTGTTGATACATCGGACCGTTGAGCTCTCCTTGATTCTATCTGATCTATATCATGAAATATCTCACTTATTGGTCTCTCTTTACCTGAATGGTTAAATACATTGAAATCTAATGAGATCACTACACTGTATATTTTATACACAAGGGCTCACTATAATGCTATTGGGGGAAATAATAAACCTTGACCTCATAGTAAACAATTGAGGTCACCATGTATATGCATGAACTCAATACATAAGCCTAAATATTTGATAAAAATCAGTATATTTTGAACTGTAAGTGAACTTGAGGAAAAATAATAATAATCAAGAATATTACAGACACAGGTCAATAAAATCGATAGCAAATCACTTTATTTATTTACTGTTAGGAATGAATATGAATACTACCATTTGTGTTTGTATTAAATAGGTCATTGACCAGTTGATCTCTTGACGCTGACATATCAAATGGTTGATCATGCTGATCTGTTGTAGCTCCTGACCTATTTACCTCTCGCATGGCTTGATGTAAATCCTCTATTTCTTTACTTGTGTTTGTTCCCATAAACTCTAATAAAAAAAAAATTATATTTATAAAAATGCTGACACATTGACTATCAGCTAAGAATTAAACAATTGAGCACATTATTTTGAGCTGGGACTTTTGATCAAGTTCAACAGCTTATTTCTTCACAATGTGTTGTTTCATTTGCATATTGAACACACCTTTTCTGAGGAGATCCACTGAAAGCTTCCCCTTTTATGAATAGTTGAAATGCAATGTCTATAATATGCAAACATCCAAGAAACTCTCTTCAAATCCTCTTGTTCCAATGGTCAAATTATCCCTTTAGGGTTTTTAAACTGAGCAAAACAACAAAACAAACCAGTATTCAAAGTAGTGACAAAAAGTGAAAAAATTTGTTTTATGAAAGAAACTGGATAGACTAGTTTGCTGCTTATTTTCGAGCGATTTGGAATAGAAATTCAAAACTACGGAAAGCAAAATAAAATATATTCCATTAATGGATCCACAATAAATTGAATAAACTAACCTGTACCAGTATGTGTTTTCATTGTACCAGGAACTGTTAACTTAAGATTATCTTGACTAACATCATGATCTCTGGATGAGGTACCAACTTTAGGTGACGTTGTTGTATTCATGGTAGAATCCATTGAATCCAATAATGATACTAAAAGAAAAAACAGCAAAAATATTTAAATTTAGTATTTTCCTATCTGCGTATTAAGTGGGTTGAGTTTCAGACATATCAATCCAGAGTAACCTATCATCAAGAGATATGGTCATTATAAGAACTTTTAATATTATTATTAATGTATCAGGACAATGTTTTTGGTATTTTAAAAGACAAAATAAGAATTTTATCATTTAGATAGCCAACCATATACTCCTTGCCCTTGAATAAGTTTTGTGATCAAAGTAGACACAAACAAATAAACTAACCTTTTGACAACATACTGGGCTTCTGGTGAGATGAATCCTGAAAATATACAAACAACAAAAATTTCAATGGCCTTCATATATGGAAAAAAAGGTCCAATGTATACCATTGGTAGCATGTTAAAGATCACCTAAAGGGAAGTGCAATTAAAAAAGGCTTGTGTGCAACTGTTGTCCCAAATGTCCCTCATAGCTTGCAGCATGGCATGTGCCCGTCTCCATTGTGGCATTAGCCTGATTGGTGCAGAAAAGTAAAACGTTAAACCTTACTCCATTTTACAACTTACCTTTTCAAATGATTGTTCTTTGACTTCATGATGATATAATTCATTTCTTCTTTCTTCCTGTTCTCTAGAATCATCCAACATATCAGCTATTTTATGATTAGTATCAACAGGATTGTATGTTGTACCACTTATTTCTCCTATTAATCTATGATAATCAACAGATTGGCCAGTTTCTTCTTCTAAACCCTGTACAATAAATGCACAAAAATGTGAAAACAATTAAAGGGATATTATGTAAAATTTAGTGAAAGTGCTGGCTGTTCTTGTTATAATAGTTCAAAAATAGTTAATGAAAAATGAATATATTGAACTTTCACTAAAATGACTTTATTCCGAGCAAAGTTAAGAATGGTCACTTTTATCAGGTTTCACACAGCAGATGCAACTTGAATGTGAATAAATGTCTAAATAATAATTTATAAAACATCAGAAGTTTTTTTTTTAAATTTTCAGTTGTTGAAACATAGGAAGGATTACAAAATATTCAAACTAAATACAATAATGGCTTCCAAATTATACCATAGACACATGGGAAGCTAGTCAACCCAATGATTATAAATTACATCTAAATATTTTTCATCACCTGAAAAAATTGTTGTTTATCAGCCAACTCATTCAATGTATCCACACCAGGTCCAGTGCTGACATATTCATTCAGAATATCATCTTCTTAAAATACAAAAATTCAACCTGTGTAATTGGTAAATCATGAATATATTGTGTATCTTACAACAGATATTGGTATAACATACAAAATTCAAAATTTTAAAGTACTAATTAATGAAAGAAAATGAAAATATGAATACTGTATATGGTTGGTTTTGGACATGTTAATAAGACAAAATTTGATATTTTACCTCCCTGAAAGTTGTCCTTGTTATTTTCATAACTCGCTTCTGCTACAAGTTGATGAATCCTGTACACAAATAAAAAGACATACAATATTATACGTTAAAATCGTAGATACAATGAAACGTCTAAATTTACAATAAAGATAAAATATCTATTTAATTTCTTAAAACTAGTCAAATACATCATATTACGCCTATACTGCTGTAGATATAATTAAACCTCATGCAAAATATGGGCCTTGATTCTGCATTATAACTCAGGGCTTCGTCAAACATTTTTTCAAGGATATTCAAGGACAAATATACGTCAAATTCAAGGATTTTCAAGGACATTTTTTAGCCTAAAGTTACAATTTTGTATCTTAAAAATAACCAAAACATTACCAACTACATGTATCGTTATAATCTCATATTTAAAAGGAATTGAAGACATTTGAAATAAAATTAAGGATCTCAACTGAAATTCAAGGATATTTTCCTATTTCCGCGAAATTCAAGGATATTCAAGACCTTGAAAATGAAATTTTAAATTTAAGGATATTCAAGGACCGCGGGAACCCTGTAACTGTCTACTTACTTTTTCCTTTCTTCACTAATGTCTTCAGACTTTTCAGAAACTGTAAAATAAGAAATGCGAAAGTCAAAAAATCTATGAGTCATACTTGTGACTTTTAACCAATATTTGATAAAAACTGAAAGTTTGAACGTAAAATTGTAAACATACTGTATTTCGGCATCAATTAATTTATAATCATACTTACTATCATCTAAACTATCTTTACTCAATGATATTTCTTGTTTTGAACCTCTTCTATTCTTGTTATTCACCTAAAACAAAATTTGAAAAAATATTTATCACATCTTTTTATTGCTTACAGAAACAGAATTATATAAAATTTAACCATACTTTAATATTTCAGGTTGACCCTCTATTGGTCCAAAAACGTTGCAAAGTAACCCACTGAATAAGTTATCTTATTTTGGAACCTAGTGAATTTAGTGAAATATAGAAATTATATTTTTCAAATTTTACATCTTTCTTATTCCTTTGTTTGGGTATTAATTCCACTGCTTTACTTTCATCTTGGGAATTTCCAGATTTTGATTCTTTTGTTTTTAGAAAACTCTTTCCACTTGGACTTAATCCTGTAAATATGAATGGATCCTCTATTAGCATGCATGTAGTGCATAACAACTAAAATCAAAATCAATTATTTTCAATATATCTGTTTTGTTTTGTATATTATCTATGTATAACTTAAGGAGCTAAATTGCTAATATTTCGGACCTAGAAATTGAAATAAATGGGTCACAATGCATATAATAATGTATATATATATAGAGAGAGAAATGGGGTTTAACGTCCACTAGACACAAACTAGGTCATTTCAGGACTAACAATGGTTTAATTTTATTTCAATAATTCGCTTGCGCATAGGGATCTTTAGTAGTGGGAGGAAACCAGAATAATGTATATAAACTGACTGTATATAAACTGATTTACATTCAATCGTTTCCATTTCAAATTAGTTATGTTTGGTGAAACACGCCAGAAGTCTCAACTGAATGGCAATCTCTAGCGTCGGGTTATTCCAGTCTACACCAAATAGTATTTATTGGCGTCACCGTTTGACATGACTTGCGAAATACATCTAGCCTCGTTCTTTGAGTTTTGCGTTACAAATGGCACTGAAACACATTATCGTACATGATTCGTGTACCAATGGTAAAATGTTTATTTTATCTTAAATATTAGATATCAGAAGCCCATCTTTTCTCGGTAAGATCACAACATCAATGTTGATTTAAATTAACAAATATAATTCATGTTTTCAATGTCGAAAACTTTGGATAATATTGAGTTAGAGACTTAGCTACTTTAAAGGGTCATACTTGCGAAAAAAATTCATAATGGGATTTTCCCCAACATTCTTTTATACACAAGAACTAAATGAGTTATGGAACATAGGAATATTAATTTGTTCATAACCCATCTACATGCACCTACTTAACCAAGCATGCATATTCCAAGTTTTGGCACAGAATGAGCAAACCAAAAACATTTAAATACTACAAGTTCTCAGAAATTCTTTTAAACAGAAGCATCTATCGGTTCCAATTTATTGTGGTACTATTGTCATTTTCATTTCAAATACTACAAGTTCTCAAAAATTCTTTAAAACATAAGCATTTACCGGTTCCAATTGTGGTGCTATTGTCATTTTCATTATCTTCTTCATACCATTTTGACTTTCTTTCCTTTTTAACTGGTTTCTTTAGATATTTTTGCAAAGATTCCTCTGATGAAACAGACTAGGAAAATAACAAATGTTAAATAATATAGTCATTTGAAAGAAGTCATTAATAGAAAAAGCAAAATGATAGAAGAAAATTATACACATCATAGATTAAAGTGAAGTTTAAATAAAGTTGCTAAACATAATTCAGTAGACATACAACATCAATTATATCCTAGCTAATGGGTCCAAAGTCAACAGGGCTTTGGAGCAATGCAATTAAATCAGCTTTAAATGGAATATTTATTACATATATGTCAATAGTGAGCTGCATTTAATCGTGCAAGCTAAATATGTGTAAACATGTAGCATAATGATGTTACAAAAGTTAATTATTGTTCTATGGCACTGCCATTGATATCTATATTTACAAAATGTGTCAATTTATCAGCATTGAATGCTCATACAGTACAATACTTAATTAACATATCAAAGTAAAGATAAGTCAGTGGAATTTTTTGTCATTTGTAATAATTATTCAGCTTGTTATTACCATTGAAAGTTGAATGATTCAAAATATAAAGAAAACCCATGCCCAAGCATCTAGCTTTTAAATGGTGCACCTGGTGCCATGCTGAAATCAAAGGGCCAAATGAAAGACTATTTTATATGCAACTTATGATAGTAATAACATATTTATACTGTCATAAGCTTTTTGCAAGGCTAAAAATAAGGCACAGGTCACAGGCATAGTCAAGCATTGTCTGACAATTAATTGTTATGGTTTTTTTTCTTATATTTATTGATACATGTCAGATATAAAATGGGGTTTAATGTCCTACTACTGTTTTGCACTGACTGGGATAATGAAGGAATACATGTTATGCACAAAGTTCAAAATGTTAGTTACTAGTTCAATAGTGAATGCCATTTTGTCAGATACAACTAAGACCATTTATTCCCAGAACTGTATATATGAACTGTGACAAGCTTTGCTTACATCTCTCAGAAAAGCATCAAACTGAGTATCTAGATCTTCCTTTGTAAACTTATTTGACATCCTTCTCTTACAGCTGTACTACCAGATTAAACTTGCAATACCTGAAAAAAGTTGTCACTATGCATTATTGAGAGCACTATTGTTGTTAATCTTAGGTTCAATGAGCTAATTATATTACTGATCAATTAAAAACTCAAACAGATTGAAACAACAATCTCAGCTGATCCCATGCAATATTTCAAGTACTGTAAGATGATGAAATGACTTGGAAAGAGCTTCTGACAGATTAAAAAGAAAATTATTACTGTAAATGTAAAGTAAAACAAGAAATTATAAGGTGTTTAAAACTAACTTAGTAACTACAGCACGCAGAGAAACTTACTCTCATCATAAATGTTCAGTGAAAATTAATATGTCCAACAAGACAATTAATTTGTTTTAATATTACGATCGATGGTGTAAAGTATGGGGGTGGGGGAATAATATGAGGGTAGAAGTATGCAGTCATTGATTTTTGAGGCGTGCGGTCGCTCGTGACCACCTGCCGTGCACCTGAATGTCGACCAGGGGAGGTTTTTCTCCCTCGCCTTAAAATTGTAAGTTGCTCTCCTTATTTGTAAATCATGGACATATTTTTTTTTTTTTGAAAGAAGTGAAAGATTCACATTTCCATCGCTGCCATGCTGTCACTGTGAACATTTATTTGGTGTATTTGATTAGTGTATAATGTGATCGCACATGGTAATAAAATTCTGATGAATATGTTGAATATGTTGCATCACTGGTTAATAAAAATATAAAGTAGAACTCTCGCGAGACGTGAGGAATTACGAGAGATGACACGTAAAATATTTCTAATAAGAATAATTCCGGAAGAAAAAGATTATATTTTGATGGAATTTTCAAGCGTTTATGATTATATTTTGAATAGGGGTTATGTTTTTAAACAAAATTTATACAAGCTATATATATTTAGAAATGGTGACAAGTAATTCTATTGGAATACCGTAAGTAGTTTTAGACGATAGCAAAAGTTTGACTTGACCATAAGACTACGAGTACTATTATTTAGCAGACGATGTTTATTATCATTTATTTTATGTAACCAGGATTCGGAATGACCCCTTAATTACATGCAGTTATTGATCTTCAGAACCATTTCCCATACATACAAATAACCACTCTATCAGATCACTCTCCTTAATTTCTAAATCACTCTTCTTATCGAAACTGGGAGAGCTTTTTTAAGGCAGCGATTTTTTCAGTTTGTTCATTAAGGGGAACAAAAATACAAAAAACAACGACTAAGTATGGCACATTTACATGTACATGTGTCAACACTTGTCTTTATTTTGACCTACATGTACATGTAGACAAGGGCATTGATTTGTCATAACTTTTGGGGGGGGGGGGGTGAGGGACGAACCCTGGAACATTTCATTACCAAAACGTTATAAATAATTACAAACAGTTTACTGTACCAATGTTATTTGGATAAAGGCTGTAACTAGGAGTAATATGATGATAATATGGAAAAATTGACTACCTACATCAAAGCTGCATAAATATTAATTGTTCATGAAGTTAAGTGAATCGTCCAGGGATTTTCTCTTTGAATATCTTGGCGATATGAAGGGGGTCATTATGCACCGCACACGCCATCAAGTGTCTCAGTCGGTTTTGCGTCATGGAGTTGCGCAACCAAATTTTGATACGGCGCAGAGTGCTGAAGGATTGCTCGGCTGAGCAGGAACTAGCAGGGTTCAGCAGTGTGAGATGAGAAGAGCTTCGACAGAACGGAACATCTGCCTCACTTCAGGTGACATAATGAGGAACGCTTCGTGCACAAGTGAAATAGATTTGGCCGAAAACTGGCGCTTGAAGAATGGCAATTCTTGTTCCAAGTCCCGATTCAGTTCCAGATACGTAGAAACAAGCTCACCATCATGTGGATATAAACCTGAAAATCTGTCCTGGCTATCAAAATCATGGGGGGGACAGAGACCTATTCGTCCCCCGTTTCCAAGCCCCCCCCCCCCTAAATCCACCCCCATGCATGTAGATCATATTATTCTATTCATAGTAAGTATGACTTATTGTAAACTCATTCATTTGTTTTTCTTGATTTTATGTTTTGCCCTGTTAAGTTATTGTAATATAGAGTGAAGCTCTAAGGCATTGCACGAAGCGCTGTGCTTGAGCAAAGCTCTTTTCCGGCAAGGGCTGAACTAAAACTGTCACCCACAGACTGTTGATTAAAAGAATATTCAGACCAGAACCAGATACAATGGGCAAAACTGGCAATGTCACGTGCATGTCATTCAATTTACACGTCACAGATCAGAAAACTATTTCTATGCATTATGATTTCACCGTAGCTAGATGAGTAGATGTGTCTAATCAATGATGTCACATATTTTTGACGTCAATGAAAATAATTCTCACACTTTTTTCTTTTTTTTTAAAAAACAAAATCAATCATACAATTCAGATTTAAATTAAAATCAATTTGGAAATACGAAATTATTTAACACTTTTTGTATCACCATGGACCTTATTTATAATACAATATAATATAAGGTCCATGGTATCAGTATCACTTCATGAAGGTTTTATATTTGACAAGTCAACAATTTACAATCACATCCGCTTTGCTCAACTCAAGCAAGGCCTGTCACATGTTACATATAAATTTAAGGTCATTTTTATATATCGATGATAGATCTTGATTCTGATAGAATTTTTGGAATAATAAAAAGAAAATGATAAATACCTAACATAACAATAAAGTAACAATATTTATCATTATCTGAATTTTCGCACTTGAATATGAATGCTGAAAATCCACTCTTCGCATTCGTTATACTGCCTATTACCTCACGATTATGTCCATTTGAATTAAAAGATACACCCGGTAGAGATCTTGCCTGGAAACTACAGATCAGGCAATTTTCCCAAAAATTGTCAAGAGTAGACTTGTTTTGTTTTTAATCCGCCATTCCTGAACAAATCGACCGTTACTGATTTTATTTTACTAAAGAGCTTCGACTGAGTTATTTCCCTTTAAAATCCCCACTGCAACGTGAAACACTTCAGACGAATGATTAACTTCCTTCTTTTACCTCTCATTTCAGTAACTGGTAGATACCGTCGACACTCTAATAAGTGATGTCACTTTGTATTAAATAAGCTCCCACAAGTGATACTTAAATTATACTTTTTTAATGGGGTTTATTTCCCAGTAAATGTTATCTATATACATGTAATATTACTGTGTATTTTTTTTTTTCATCTTTCAATTTATACTTTTTATGTATCTTATATTGTAAAGGGTCATCTGGGAATTTATGTGAATGATGCATTATATGTTTAATAATAATAATTGGAAATATTAAATTACTAGCAGGATATTTGGCAAAGCTCCATGGCCTAAGACATTCCCAGGGTCATGCTGGTTAATTCAATACCATAAATATGTGGGCGTTGTTTGCCCGGGGCCCACATTCGATAGCCATAAACATTCATGGGGTCCTGCTGGTTAATTTTATACCATTTTTGTTGTAACTGGATCGCAGCGGCGAAGCATGTTGGGCGAACATAAACACATTGTTGATTTTATTTATATAAAAAGATACAAGTGTAATTGTTTATGAGCAGTGATGTGGTTGTTCCTGATGTGTTGTTCTATAAAATTGATAGAACTACCGGTTGTGGCTTGTTGTTATTATTTTTTCCCAACTTTCTGCATTATTGTATTAATTTCGGACTAAGATGTATTTGAAATTTGTTTTGATATACCTTGTCTCTATGGCTAATCAAAACAACCCCCCATGATTCATCGCATACCAAGAACTCGCTGCAACAGACCATTTCACTGGCTAATCCCTCACATCAACCAAAACACAGGTTATATAACAATTCTTCCAGATTCTAGTGTAGTAAAGACAAGTAAAACAAAATTTTGAACTATAAAAATAGAAACGAAATAGGATCTTTGTTTTAATTAGATTGTATATATCTCTTGAATACATGAACAATGCTGAAAGGTTACAATAGGTATGGTTGTCCCCAAAATTATCACTAAGAACCATGACAGTGCTGATGCCTTCGAGTGTATTCTTCTCTGGTATACTCTGGTATACTATAATGTTAATGCATTTCTTCAATCTCTGTTTTGATGAATTTTGCCTCTGCTGATTGAAATTTTACAATACTATTGATATCTTTTGAAAATGTTATAAACAATAAGAAAAAAAAACTGAAACACAACCTTATGTAAATTCTGGGGAAAATATCTTATTCCTTTTTTTAATTGTACATACATAAATAATATACAAGTTCATTAAGTAATGATGTTATTATTTACAAAAATATATACACAAAAATACTTATATACATCTGTAATAAATGCTGACCTGATGATTCAACAAACATCATTTTACAGATAAAATAGATTTCTAACACATGACACACTGAATGGAACAAGATAGAGGAATAAAATATCAATATCAAACATTAAAATGGAAATTCAAGGCATTTGTTCTGATAGAGAAATCATGATCAGTTATTTCAAATTGTTAAAAAATTCAATCACAATAAACTTCCCTTGAACATAGAAAATGGAGAACAGGTATATTCTTATCATTAACAAAACAAAACAATGAGTTAATATACAGGTACAAAACAGAGCAAAGGTACTATTACATCAAGGATTAACATCTGAATGATGACATCATGAAATATGCTTTAATGAATATCTAACATTTCATTAACAATACTGTATAGATATCAAATTTCCTTTATGATGCTCAATGTGTCATTCAAATCTTAACAGATTGTTCATAAGTCATATTATTGAGTCTTCATTTGTCTATGAGTAGTTGTACAATTTACAGATCTGTTCAGTGTTGAAACTGCAGAAACTTTGAGGATACACAGAGAACATTTAGATAATATTCTTTCCTTAATATTTCTAGATGGAATTAATAAGTCAATGTTCTGATCTTTGGTTTTGAGTTCAATGTAATTTGCTGTAACTACAATTTCATGAAAGAGGAACGTGATTGCTAGTTTTTATACATATGTATCTCACCACACTTACGAATGATTTATACCATTAAACAGCTATTCTGTCTGGACACACACATAAATAAAATACAATGTCAATGATAAAAGCATATCTAGGTTAACGTTGCTCTGCTTTTGGTTTGGGTGGTCTGAAGAATCCTTTAGGTTTTTTAACTTTACCACCAGATTTAAAACTACGCCAACTGTCAACTCGACCTGTTCTTGAGGCCTAAAATATATATTCATAATACACAATAATACATGGTATGACAAATTTTAAAGGAACTAGAAATTATAAAGGTTGGTTGAGAAGCAATGGAACATTCACACATGATATCTAAGTTGTCTGAGCAGTACACAAAGGCTGTCACATATTTATTCTGTTGTAGGTACCGGTAATGGTAGTATTTACAAGACACTAAAAACTGATCAAGAGTAACAACAACCCATGAAGTAATTATCAGAAATAATTTAACCTTGATTGGCTTCTAGTTCTTAGTAGTGTTAACATTTTTTATACAAAACATATTTGGTAATCAGATGATAACTTGTTGAAACGAGTCACTAGAGGTTCCACAAGATATTTAATAGTGCAATAACACTGAAAACAATTATCAGTTTCATCTCGTGTACATAAACACTATTTACAGAAGAAAATCAGAAGATTACTTTAGCCTCTAGAGCATCCACAAGATTTTACAAATTGATCAAAGGTGTTAACTGTGGGTTTAATTATAGGAAATCGTTGAAAAATCAGTAGATTTCTTTATCTCATAAACATAAACACTGTGTATAAATTTCAAGTCAATCATAACATAACTATAGCCTCTAGATTACGGACAATTAACGCACAAGGGGACGACGATACAAAATAGTGTAAATCTTGGTAAAACCTGCAAGAATCTTAAAACCATATAAAGTCAGACTTACTTCAAAATTTTTCTCCCATTCTTTCTGCATTTTTCTCTTGTCTTCCTCTTCTGCATCTTCTTCAGCTTTCCTTTTTCTGCAAAAAAATCGAGATTTGGGTTATATATTCACGTTTCCAAAATTATACATAATTCTAGCTAACTTAGAAAACTTTTAATTGTTAGGGAACAAGGTATTGCCGCCCATTGCAATTAATAGAACATGTAGTGTATTGGATATATTTTTAAAAGACAATAAATTTGTAACAGTAATGGGATTTGATTGTATGGGTTTAGTCATATTATTATAATGTAGACAAAATTTATGTTCATTTGGCATTCTATTACATGAACTGAAATACAGATTACAAAACTACAGAAATAATTAAATAAAAAAAGTTAATTCCCTAAACAACCGCCATACTTGTTTTCAATTTGTAGAGCAAACATGGCGATAATATTTTCAGTAAGCTGATTGTAGTGATAGTGAAAAAACTTCAATCAGTCAGGAGGTAATTGGTAGTTGACTAGCTAACCGGATGTGGACAGTTTGCTTGACACAGAATATACTGGATGTGGGCGTTGCCTACCTGTGTTTTTGTTACCCCTAGGCGATTGCCATGTTTGTTCTACAAATTGAAAACAAGTATTGCGGTCTTTAGGGCATTAACTTTTTTTCATTTAATTATTTCTGTAATTTTGTAATCGTTGTTCAGCTTTAATTATAATATCCCGCTAGGAGGATGCAGATTTTCCCATGGAAATTACATTCACCTCTGAGTCTGATAGCTATCTTTGACAGATGACAACAAAGACAATAAGACCCATATTTATGGAGATATTTCTGATTATGTCTAAGGTGAAAACATCAAATGCATTCCAGACCTGGAAACAATATGAAACATTTTTGCTAGTTTTAATCTAACTAAACCAAATATAAAAGGTTTCTCCTTACTTTTCATGCATTTCTCTTGTTTCCTTTTCTCTCCTCATTCTCTCTAAATCAGCAAACAATTTACATGTTTGTACATATACAGCATGTTTATACTGAAAATAAAATTAAAAATTTTTATTTCTAAAGAAAATATAGTCAGAACCAGATACACAGTAAACCAAGCCGGTACCATAATGGAGGGGGGGCTCAATGTAAACTAGGTTTCAGGACTAATATTTGGTACATCTTTAATTAGGGGTCTAAAGCAGAGGGACCACTAGTTTTAGCAAGCAACCATACTCCTTGTCCCACAACATCACAACTTCAAACCATGACTATATGATCTGATCACCCAGCCACCCAATACAGGGTTTGTATTAGTTTATAAATATTGTACATAAATACTTACTTGAACTCTATCATCCTCAGGTATATCAGTTGGTTTACCTCCTTTCTTTAGTTGTTTTTTCTTCTGTTTCATCTGAAGAAACACAAACAAATTCTCCATAAAGTTAAATGGGCAGGATGATTTACCCACTACTAATTAAATACTACCTCAATATTGTGAAAAACTAACAATACTTCAATTTTAAAAAAAAGATTTCAGTGAATTTGTGGAAAACATGCAAAAAAAAATAATTGTACAACAAATGTAATTTTCTGTCTTGCTTTTCCAATTATCTCCCTTGATCACCCAATACTTACAAAATATTAACCAATGCTATCAAAAATCAATCCATTTCTGTAAAATAATGGGCTAGTATTACCAACAAATGAGATTAGCACAATTACTTGGAAAACAATATGTCTGTTTGTGGAAAACAAATTATTTATTCAATGTTTATTAGCTGTTTCATTTATCATTGATACTATAAAGAGATATTTCAAACGTTAGAATTGGGAGATTTGGTAATATTTGGCTAGTCTTTCAGACACTTGAGCTATCTGGTACTGATACTATAAATAGACTCTTCCTGAGTATCGTAAAAAAAACTTTTGCTAATTCCACAAATTAACTCAATATTTTTTGGGTATAATTCAACAACTGTGATAGTTTCTCACAATAATGTGGTAGTATGTGGTGGTATTTGGTAGTTTTTCATTAGTATTGGGTAAATCGTTCTGCTGAAGTTGAAGGAGCTAAATAGCTAAATCACTATTCTTTGGCACCTAGGAATGGACGCAAATGGGTCGTAACACATATAACAATATAATATGAATGTATATAAACTGATTTACATTCAATCGTTTCTGTTTTTACTGTAATTTCTAATCAGTTATGTTTGGTGAAATATGTGTGAAGAGTGCAAATTGAATGGCAGTGTTGGCGTCTGGTTATTCCAGTCTACTCTGGTAGTCCTCCCTTGTGGGATATGTTTAGCCTCATTCATTGAGTCGCTCATTACAAATGGCGCTCGCAAGCATTCTGGCACACGATTCAGGTGCCAAGTTTAAAATCTTCATTGAGTCATAAATATTGGATACCAGAAACCCATTTTTTCACAGTAACATAACATCAATGTTGATTTAAATTGACCAATAAGTCGTGTTTGCAATGTCAAAGACTGCGAATGACATTGAGTTAAAGACTTGGCTACTTTAAATAGTCTATAAATCATGGGTCAATCACGTAGATTTTTAAGTTTATAATCACTCTTATTGGATTGATACATATCCCGACAAAGGAAAAGCAATGACTTCTGTTCAGGACTGGATTGATGAATTGTCCGATAAAGGAGTAAGGCAGATTAACTAGTTAATAAAGGTAGGTGTATAGGCGGTATAACAAGATAAATACGTTGATCACTTAATTACCTAATCAATCCAGCGTATTATCAATGATAATTGGGTTGAGTGGTAGTTATACACTCAGTAAACTATATTAATTTTGGAAATTTGAATATTATTCACCATGTCTTGATGTCCGATGGGGCATATTCCCGGTCAGACAAATTTGGGCATTTGAAAAATAGCGTCGGACTTGCAAGTCCGGAATATACAGACGAAATCCCATCCCTGGTCTATACCTGTATAGACATTTTTCTTGTCTAGTAATTATGCATGTATTTATTAGAAAATGCATGTATTTATGCTACCTTCAAAATTTGAGCATTAGCAAAATAACTCAAATTTAATTACAATTCTCTTCTTTATTCACAGTGACGTTAGAAAAATAGAAGTTAGAGATTATTGATTAAACATTAAACATACATTATGCAAGAGCTAAATCTGCCTATTGCAGGTCTTTCTTTAGGCCTGAAATGTTTTCTAAATTATTAATTAGACATTAACTGATCCATCCAATCTCAATGGATTCAGATTTCTCTGATATTAAATAGATTAGAAAGGTTCAGCCAATTAAATAGATTAGAAAGGTTCAGCCACATTTAAAAGTGGAGGAGCGAGACTTAGCTTCGAACAACCAGTATGGTGATTGAAATTATTGCACACGTCTTGTCAAACCTTCAAAGGCTAATATCTTTGCTCGCAATAGAGTAATTTGAATGGAATTTTCAACTTATTTATTTTACATTATCTATTTTCAAACTATTGTAGCAAGAATGACTAGCTCTTTATATAAATCTTACATAATGTATCTTTAACATTCAAACAAAGTTTTAGAACTATCTCTAATAAACAGAGTCTTACCATTTCATCAGTTCTAGATTCAGCTTCTTCCACTATCTCTTTACATCTTTTCATACCTTCTTCATTTTCTAGTGTTTTATAGGCTTTATTCAAAGCTGTAAAAAGATCAAATATTGTTTGAGACAGATACTTGTGGGATTAAATAGACTATGCACTCCAAACCTCTGTATCCCCAGTACGACGCTTCAAAAGACCAGGAAAAAAAAAAAAAAAATTATAGACCTAAGATGTTTATATATATTATATATCATGCCTGTAATTAATGAAGAGTTTGATTGCCATAATTATTAAAAGTTCTGCTAAAATGCATTTTTCATGTCAATGAATAGGTCATTAAATAACATTAGGCAATAAAATATTTGTCACTTGAATAAAGCTGGATCAGAGATAGCACAAGAATATGAGTACAACGTACAAGCTACTACAAAATCAAATGGTGGATATCTTAAAACACATTACCACTGCTACCTGTCAGCTATGGAATTTATGACAATAAATGCACATAATAAACAGTAGCATAATTACTGTTCCGATTTTTTAAAGGAATATATTATCTATAAAGTTGATAACTATTTTGCAAATAGATGCAGTTTAATGGTTTTTAAAAAAAAAACTGGTTCAAGACAAAGGTCTTCAATGAACCTGAATTTAAATAGTTACTGTAAAATAAAATAAGACCCTTACAATCAAAAGATTTCTGGGCTCTTTCTATGTCATCTGGATTTTTATCAGGATGCACAAGAATTGACATCTAAAATACAGAAAGAATAAAATAACATAATTGACTACATGTAAGGCTGATGTATAATGCACCTAATGAACATTTGGTTTACCTCCTCAATTAGAAGAAGTGCTCCAAAAAGTGTGACAAACAGATAAACCAATTACAACAATCGCCTACATGTACTTAACAGACTGGTGCAATATTTGATCGAACTATTCAACTAATTTCAATAGGCACATGACAGCCGGTATGATATTTTTTGTGGAACTAACACTTGTGGAACTGGAACAATGATGAAACATGAAAACAATCTATAAACATTATTTAAAACCTCTTACCACATTTATATGAAAAGTCACATATTAATGCCCTACCTGTCTGTATCTTTTTTTGACATCTGCTAGAGGTGTATCAGGGTCTATCTGTAATACCTGAAATAATTCAGTTGACAAATAAATTACATGGTACTTATCTAAATTCGAACTAAACGGTGAAAATTTTTTGTTGTACATGCTTAAAACTAGGACAAAGACTCTTTGTATTATATTCCTGATTGATCCTTTCAGACTTATCTGTTCAATACAATTGCTTAGATGTACTTTTCAACTTCAATGTGTGTTTGAAATTAAAGTATGACAATATTGGTCCACACTCATTCCCAAACTGTTCTTTGATGCATATAATATATAAATTATAATACAGGTAATGTATATGTGAGTGGTGAACTGATTCTGCAATATGGCCCTACATTAACTCAAAACATCCTTTTAACTGTCAAGTTACATGCTAAAATTGTACAAATTCACAATGACTTACATCAAATGGATTTAGATTAAAGTAAGTTGACCCTGGTCTGTTAAGACGATCTATTTGTTGTTTGGGTGTCAGAACTGAATCCCTCTTTTCAATAGCTTTAACCTGAAATTAAATCATTGAATGTGATATTTTAGTAATACTCTCAGATTACACAATAATTAGATTATAACATTTTGATCTGTGTTGGTAGTTGAGCGGCCTCTTTATGCAATAAAATTAATAAAAGTTCTAATTGGAAATTTCCTTTCTCGGCCTTCTGGTTAATTCTATTGTGCCAACCTTCAAAGTCATTATTTGTTCTTACCGTTCTCCCAAATACACTCCACGTCGATGTATTTAAAAGAAAAAACACAACTATTGTGGGATGAGTGGTTTTCTAAACTTGGTCCGAATGGTCTTATATCTCAGCCCACGTATTAAAACAAACAACTATTGTGGGATAAGTGGTCTTCTAAACTTGGGAAGAGTGGTCTTCTATTTCGGGATGAGTAATTGTCTTCTATTGCGATGAGTGGTCTTGTGATGAGTTGTCTTTGAGATGAGTTGTCTGGACACCCACCCATGTCATTGGTATAGGATGAAAGGCCTGGCAAGGGACAATGTATAATTGTTCCAATGGGATAAAAAAAAAGACATCTGTGTTCACATTGGTGTGCCCATAGAGTAGGCCATAGTGCTGCTTTGCAGGCAAAATTACCCACATAAGACACGCACTGCAGAAAAGTGTGACGTTAAACTTCATTTTGTTTTCTAACCCAATACTACATACAAGCGCATGCTACTGGTACATTATAATCATTATCCAAAAATGTCAAAATTCACCAATTACTTTATTATATACTAACAGGATACCCGGCTTCGCTCGGGGGGTCATAACTCCGAAACCGGAAGTGGTAGACTAACGCCACCTGGCCTATGTTACTCCCCGGTCCGAGCTACCCCTATACCCCAAATTTCAGACTCGGGGCAGACCTAGTGTAGCCGCCAACCCCGAACAGACCAGCTTCGCTCGGGGGTCATAACTCCGAAACCGGAAGTGGTAGACTAACACCACCTAGCCTATGTTACTCCCCGGTCCGAGCTACCCCTATACCCCAAATTTCAGATTTGGGGCAGACCTAGTGCAGCCGCCAACCCCGAACAGACCGGCTTCGCTCGGGGGTCATAACTCCGAAACCGGAAGTGGTAGACTAACGCCACCTGGCCTATGTTACTCCCCGGTCCGAGCTACCCCGGGGAGACCTAGTGTAGCCGCCAACCCCGAACAGACAGACAGACGACAGTCTCAAATATATATATAGATATCAATGAGTTAATTTTCTGAATCAGAAATATCTATTTATAATATCAAATGTACATGTGGTATCAGTGATAAAAAGAACTACAGTACAAAACATTGAATAATTTCCCCCCCCCCCCCCCCCAAAAAAAAGCATACTGTTATTCAATTAATTGTAACTTTAACTCAATTTTTTTTGTGGGCTATTGGGTGATCAAGGGAGATAACTTGAAAAGCAAGTTCTTGCATTTCCTTCATGTAGAAAGCAATATTCAAGTCTTCCTAGACATTTTTCACTCCGCCATTGGATTAAGAGAAACTATATAACATGCCCCACCCCCACCCACCCATTTTTATTAATATTTTTTGAGAGATTTAACTGCACCTGTGTTGACATTTAAATGATAGTAACTGGAATTTGTGGTTGAATTGCAGCTAAGAATGTTATTTTTCAACAATAAATAGTTATTTTGTGCATTTCAAAGATTTCTAAACGTTTTTGTTCAAATTCAAACATCATGTTCTTGCCCAACACAAGTATTTCAGAGATATTATTTGTACTAAACCAAAAGATGCCACTCCTAACAGTACAGTTAGTGATAAAGCTATTTAAAAAATAAAACGAATGTAATTTTTAAAGCTGTTGTAATAACCAATAAGCTAAATATTACTGCTATTCAAAATAGTCAACAATAGATTTTTTACGGCTATAATACAAATAGTTGATAGATGTGTAAAGAATTGCATGCGCGATGGCTATTTATAGTATCATAGACTCTACGGCTGAGTATTATTTTACTGCGTAGTAAGCGAGAAATCACTCCGGATCAAGCCACTGCAGCGTGTACATTCGCAGTGTCGAGACCAACTTTCTGTATGGAAAATTTTGGGTGCACAGGTCACCCTGCCAAAATAGGTATCAGGCATATTCATTACCAGGCTAATTCATTACCGGTAAAATCGGCGTATTCATGACCAGTATATTATAGGGTTGATTGGTTGGTATATAAAGGTGCTAATTAGTACTCATCAGTGTGGATAGAAGCCTATACGATAATTATTAATTAATGATTGGTGTTTGATGTATTAAAATTGTTTTTTTTATTATTGAGTTGTTGTTTAAATTATTTAATCTTAAGCTTGAGATTGTAAATCCCGGCTTTGTTATTTTGATTGGTCGGTGTATAAAGGTGCTAATTAGTACTCATCAGTGTGGATAGAAGCCTATACGATAATTATTAATTAAAGATTGGTGTATGATGTATTAAAATTGTTTTTTTTATTATTGAGTTGTTGTTTAAATTATTTAATCTTAAGCTTGAGATTGTAAATCCTGGCTCTGTTATTTTGTATTTTAAACTTCAAACCAATTCCGATGCAAGCTTGGAATTTGTATATATTTCGAATAAAATATGAAACTTTCATCAAGTTAACTATAGCCTAATTCCAATGGATCCTTGTATCGCTTGCCGTTCCACCGTGCGTCCGAGACAAGAAGGTCTTCAGTGTGAGCAGTGTAATCTATGGCAGCATAGAAAATGTACATGTACAGGTATGTATTTATAATTTCACAGATTTTGCTTGCTTTCATTAGTATTGAAATAAATCATAAGTATTGAAATAATTACACGAGTTTTGCTAGCTATACTTACTCGAACTTATATTCATAAAATATTTAACCCATTCACTAAATTTTAAATAATTTTGTTCTCTTTAGATATTCTTACCATACCGTATTTTACGTTATTATTTAGGCTATTCCTGTTGCTGTTTATGAAATTACCGCTACTTTCGACGAAGAAGTACCTATGGATACTAGTGTTGGACGTGAACAAGAAGAATTGCCTCTTATGGAGACCAGTTCCGAGGCTGTCCCTCTGGAAAGATCCTACGTTTTACCCGAACCAATACTGGAAGAATTGATCGACGACGATGCTCCCGTCTTTGATGTACCCGCAGCTGAGGGCCCCCGTTACATCATTCTCGAAGGTGGTACCGAGAGGGGAAACGTGAAGTTGCTGGAAAGGGAGGGTTACTCCTACATCTTTAGGGTATGTAATTATTTTATATTTAGTGTAGTGTAGTGCAAGCAGTCTTTTGCAAGATCCAGGAAAATGGTCTGCAGGTATGTATAGGCAACTTCTAAAATAAACAATATTCTGTAATCATTATCAATTATCAATAATCATTATCTTTTGTATTTGTGGTAATTGTAAATAAAGTAAAGTAAAGTTATTACAATTCTAGCTATTACAACTATTAATCGCATCAACTGAATACATTGTTTTTTTAATGTGATAAATAAAGAAATATTAATAGTAACATCAAGTTAAACACAATACTCAGTTCAAAGTTGAATACGAAACTATGGTTATTATTAATCGCATCAACTGAATACGACATTTTATATGTAAATATTGTCTTCGAATATGAAATATTTCAACTGTTGTTTGTATTATGACTATTTAAAATATATAATAAATACCTTGTTAATCTTTCTATTGTCTTGTCTTAATTGATTAATTAACACCCACAGACATTGGCACTGATGAGTACTAATTAGCACCAATCAACCCTATAATATACTGGTCATGAATACGCCGATTTTACCGGTAATGAATTAGCCTGGTAATGAATACGCTAGGATTCCCAAAATACAGGTTGTGAATGATTTTAAGTTACAATTTCATATTTTCTAGGAAAGTCAAAACATAATTATTTCTATGTCTTTTGCTCAATAGGTTGTCAACTCACTATTATACGATCATAGGTTATCTTTCTCATACTTAAAAATCTTCACACCGGAAATAATAACACAATTTCATATTTTTTAAGAAAGTCAAAACATAATTATTTCTATGTCTTTTGCTCAATAGGTTGTCAACTCACTATTATACGATCATAGGTTATCTTTCTCACACTTAAAAATCTTCACACCGGAAATAATAACACAATTACCTCCAAATTACCTCCCTTGTTTTCCTATTCCCCACCATGGAATAGCTATCTTCAATTCAAACGTTTGAATTTGAAGTTGAAAATGATATTTTTGCCAATTTCTCAACTGGCAATAGTGAATTATAGGATTAATAGGATTATTCTTTAACAAGGGAGGACTGTTTATAGATGCCATCTATTTTAGGGCTTTATTTTAATACATTTTAAAAATATAACTTAAAAATATGAAATTGTAACTTTCAGGTGTTGTGATAATTTTTGTCACTTTACCTTGCCCTTAAATATTGGATATCAGAAGCTTATTTTTTCCCGGTAAGATTACAACATCAATGTAGGTTGATTCAAATTGACAAATAATTCGTGTTTTCAATGTCGAAGACTCTGATTTTGAATGATATTGATGAGTTAGAGACTGAGCTACGGTACTTTAAATCAAAATACTAAACAAACAAACCTCATTATAGAAGTCATTAAAGGTATCACTTGTTTCTTCTTTACTACTTGAAGTTTCTGATTCTGGAGCTACAGGCTGAATATTTGGAGTGCTTTCATTAATATTTGCCTCAACCGAAGCAGACTCAGCCATTTTCTTGAAATAAAATACTAAACCTGATTTCGGTGAAAAGAGAAGCATCAAGGGAGGTAAATAGCATTATATTCGCTGTAGACTAGATTTATGGGTCACCTAGTAAAAATAGCCACGCAAAACGTCGAAATATACGCCCATATGTACATCTCGAAAACATATACGCAGCAACTTATCCGAAAGGATAATTTGGAATTTAATCAAATTTGATAATATAAACACCCTTATCCAATTGCTTTTTAGAAGATGCAGCATAATATTCTGTGTTATAGCTGATTAAAACGATGGTTTTAATAGCCTATGTCACGTCCGTATAACGAACAGAAAAAAAATAAAATAATGAAGGGTTCAATTGCGAAGAAGAAATATATCTGAAACTGGAGAGAAAAAATGTATGAAATTAAAAGGTCGACTGTAATTGAAAGGTGAAAACTATCAAATTTGAATACCAAACCAAAAGTAAAACGCTCGAAATTTACCGCGGTACATATTGAACAGGAGCATCGCTACCGCTGCAGTAAACGTCCACATTTCTGCTTTGATTGATCATATAGTACTTTTTATTTTTATGGTACTTTGTTCTGCCAAATTTACAGACGACGCAGGCACCAAAATAAATAGTTGCTATCCTTACGGTATAAGGAATAAATATGCCAAGTTCTAAAATGATCCATGCTGTAGACAAATAATACAAAAATTAGGCATGACTCTGCCTTGGAATAGACCAAAATAAATAGGTACAACCCTATGATGGATCGTGCCGAAATGGAACAAAATCTGTTAATACTTGCAACCTGTAGAGTATTTACAGACAAAAGGCTAACAAAAAAGTGGGTGTGACACCGCCCAAGAGGGTCGGATCATGTACCAAAATCAATTCAGAATTGTGACCTTCGGGCGCTAAACACAAATTCGGCGTGGCTCTGCTCCTAGGAGTCGGGTAATTCACCAAAAATCAGTAGTCTATATATGCCAAGTCCCAAGATGACCCATTCAGAATTGCGGCCTCTATACGATAAACACAAAAATTGGGCGTGGCTCTGCCATTGGGGATCGGGCATGCACCAAAAACAAAAGCGAAATGGAATGAAATGGGGTATAACGTCCTACTGATCTGCTCCGAACTGAGCTAATGAAGACGGGCATACGCCATACAGTGTGCTATGAGGGAAATTTTGCCCGGGCAGCGGCACTACGGCCTACTCATATCGAATTCCAACTGTCAAGGGATCTTTTACGTGCACGCCATTGTGTACACGGGACCTCGGTTTTTCGTCCCATTCGAACGACTAGACAGCTGTTCTCGTCCTGCATCACTGACAAGGGAGAACCACGCCGGAAAATCTGGATGAACTTTCTCGGCCAAAGCAGGGATCGAAAACTCGATCCCCTGGGGGTCGGGCATGCACCAAAAACAATAGGAATCATCCTTAGGGTATCATGAATAAGCATGCAGTCTTTCAACACAATCCGATTAGAATGTCGCTCGCCGATAAACTCCCGCACACACATAATACGCCCAAATGAAATGAAATGGGGTTTAACGTCCTACTGTTCTGCTCCTAACCTGGTCTAATGAAGACGGGTAATACGCCCAAGTTATGAATGTGGGCGTACAAAAATAAACATATGGATATTTTCAGTAAAATTACTTTATTCTGAGCGAAATTGTGAATGTTTGAACATTTGACGTTCACTGTCTCCAAGGCGATACTAGTCCAGGCAAGATAGCAAAAGTGCGGGCAGTTGCTGCAATAGAAATGCCGACCGAGGTTTATGGTCGGTTTAGACGTATATTATGACCCAAAAAAAGTCCCAGTCCGAAATCCGTGCCCAAATGGGTCAAATTGGCCAAAATCCAAAATGGCCACCGCTTTTGGCTTGTAAATTCCAATTTCCACCCAATTAACACAATATGATCGAGTTTGGTATCAAAATATACGTTTTCGGGATAACTGAATCCATTTCCATACACATTTTTGTGATAAGTGTTACCGCTGAGTCAATAATAGGGGTTATTCAAGATGGTGGTCAGTTTTGGCGGGAAAATTCGAATTTTACTTGAGGATCAAGTTTGGTGTCAAAATATATGTTTTCGAGGTAGCTGAATCCATTTTTTTTACATATTTTAGTGATTAAGTGATTCCCTGTGTCAATATAGGAGAAATTCCAATTAGGGATTGGAGATTAATGATACTCCTACCTTAGACCTAATACAATGACTTTCATCCAGTATCAACTAAATTTCATTTGGAGTGTCTCCCAGTTCACTGTGGTAGCGGCATAGGGGTATGTCCACTGGGGCCACTGTCCGGTCACTGCAGAAGCTGGTCGTGCCTTTTGAAGCACGTGGCACAAAATGATTCAGATGTTGAGACACAGATGGATACAGTATCGCCTGTTTGTCAGATATGCAGTGAACCATTCAATAATGAATAACCCATAGTTATTGGTCAATGTTTTAAGGTTAATGAAGTGGAGGAGTCTGTATCAAGGTCTAGAGGGTACGCGGTGCCAAAATTCATTTTTGCGGACCGTTGTCTTTTACATGGTCTGTAGGAAAGACTAGCAGACAGTCCATTACAACAGCGGTGACCGCTGTTACAACAGTAAACAGTAAAACTCGCAATGCCTATTTTTTGGACAAGCCAAGAGAGTACAAATGACGACTGGATATTAATCTAGTTGTATTTAATAAATCGGCATTGAGGCTGGTGTCCCTAAATATATGACACTTATTAATTACTTGCACATCTAACTTGTTTATAAAACATCTAGCAGTGAAATTGTTCTTCATTCTGTGTAACCTAAGCAAAAAATCTAATTGCAGAGGCATGCTGGTCAATTAGTCAACCGCCTACCCTGCCCTCATAAATGCAAAAACAAAAGAAACTCGAATCCGATGAGATTTCCTAACAAGGTATATGGGAGGGAGCGGGGTGGCTATGTGCCCTCTCTTCCGAAAATGTGCCATCGAATATTGTGCCCCCTTTTTCTGCTGCCCTTCCCTTGTTCCATCTAACTCCAGAGATAATACAATGTCCGTTTTCGATTGATGATGTAAGGGCCCCATACAAGCTCAATCAGACCATGATTTCCACGGATGACTTCCAGAACAGATTTCACAGACGGATTAATATTTCCATAATATTCAGAATCAACTAATTTGTCTTAGTTTTATTTATTTATCTAAATGAATTTGGGAAAATTGCAACACGGGCGACGGGAACGTTTTTGCCGGTTAGCATACTCAGGGCCAATACGCTAACCGTCACCACGAACTCTAATGACATTTAATCTGTCACCAGTAACTTCCTTGGCTTAAAGTGTATTTTGATCGTCGTCTCGTTCTTGAGGTTGTCAGTCTACTTTCATTTCTACCTCCCTACCCCTACCCTCATTAGGGAACAGAATCGAATGAAACTTGGCACGTACCATTTGTAAGGAATACCAGTCCCTTTTGATGCTTGTTTTTCTTTACTCACAGGTCGTTTAGTTCTTGACTGCAGCTAACTATGTTCATGTTCGGATCTTTGTGACTTAATCATAATCCCTTAACCAAGTGTCAATGTATGGTATGTCATGATATATACGTTAAATCGCTTCTACCATGTGCCACAGAACTCAAATTTTCCCGATCCTACCCCCTCCCCCTAAAGTGCCCTAACTTTGGTCTGCCTACCATGACTTAGTCATGACTTTACACCAAGTTTTATTCTGTCCTAAATTCTCTGCCATTGAAATCGGTATCTCCGCTCGTTATTGAACGTAAGCCAGGGATCTTAATCGGCTCATTATTGTCGACCTCCAATACCCGTTATCTTTCCGTCATTTTGGGAATGACGATGGGCAGTTCACTGCATATCTGACAAACAGGCGATACTGTATCCATCTGTGCCTCAACATTTGAATCATTTTGTGAAATAAATTCGCCTCGTGCTTCAATAGGTTTGGCCATCTTGGCTCAATTTTCGAGGTTGGTGATCGAAATCGGGCACGCCCACGACACTGCGTCCACAGTGAGCTGAGAGTGACCCCTTTCGTCATGCCTGCTACGCTGCTTCCGTAGTGAGCAGTGGTCGACCAGAGCGTCTAAATAAAATTTAGTTGATGCTTGATGAATGTCATCGTATTAGATCTGAGGCGGACTCGACCACTCGTAATCCCCAAATCTCCAATGGGATTTCCACATATTTTGACCCAGGGGAACCAGTTAATTACCAAGATGACAAAGTGTGTGGAAAATGAGATCAGCTGGCCTCCAAAACATATATTTTGACACCAAATGTGGTAATTTTGTAAAATTCGAATTTTCCCGCCAAAACTGTCCGCCATCTGGAATTATTTCCCAATATTGACTCCGCGGTATAACTAATCACCAAAATGTGTATGGAAATGGATCCAGCTACCTAGAAAGGATATATTTTGATACTAAACTCGATCATATTATGGTAAGTGGATAAAAACTGGCATTTTCCAGTCAAAACCGGCGGCCATTTTGGATTTTTGCCAATTTGACCCATTTGGGCACGGATTTCGGACTGGGACTTTTTTTTGGTGATAATATACGTCTAGACCGACCATAAAACGTGGCCGGCATTTCTATTGCAGCAACTGCCCGGAATGGTGCGAAATTGAGTTAAAATGCCTGGACTATACTCCCAGATTCGGTGTACCATCCGGGCAATGTATTTCCGTTTTTCGGGTACACCAATCAGAGAATAGGGATCATCAAGTTGTTTTTTGCTTAACATATTGTAAATCAATATTGTTGTGTAATTGTGTATTAATTAAAAATAAACAACTGTCACAGCTTTTTGGCAAACTCGTTTTAGTTAATGATTGATTCATTCAGAAAATTCGGGTGACAAAGAAATTTTCGGGCAAATAGCGTTATTATTTAAGCATTTATTAACATGACAAGCCAATAATCAACTCTCTAGAGCATCGGATGGAAGAGATTTAAATGGATTAGGACACCCGCAAGAGTTTCAAAATTTAACAATAAAATGGACAAACGAGACTAAGTTTCTATTATCCAGTAAAAAACAAACTGGGCTACACCCGTAACTTCGCTCAGAATTTTCAATATATTCCTTTTTCATTGCGTATTTTTGAACTATTAGGGCCTATAGCAAGAACGTCAAGTTCGTTATCTAAACCTTATATGTCAAAAATTGACGAAGAGATACTTCAAATTTCGAGACGCCCCCTAGATTGCACGTGCAAATCAGATGTCGACGATCCGCACTATATAAACAGAAACCAAGAAGAAAAATGTTCAGATTGTTTATATTTTTTTTATGTTTATACACCAAATTGTTTTATGAAAAGTTAAGTTTTTACATTTATGAATGTTACTGGTTGTCTTGTTTTTATTGTTACCATTTTATAATTATATAACCGTTTCTTACAATTTGTTATCCTTTATACAATTTGAACATCAACAATACATAATTTAAAGGAATTATTTATGGAATATAACGCTGAAAGAAAGGCACAGGGTAAGTTACATATTACTGTTAGTTATAATTCAAAATTCTGAAAACCTGTAGATGCCCAAAAAGTATAACCGCGTAAACATGAGCGCAGCGTTTGGAAATGTGGTAATCTTCATTAGCCCAGTATAGGAGCAGAACAGTAGAACGTTAAACCCCGTTTCATTTCATTTCTTATTGAACATTTTTGGATTTGAAGGATTAAGGGTGAACACGATTTCGAGTTTCCCAAACCGATAGACCAACATGTTTTTTCTCGTTCTCACCAATCACAAGCTCTTCTAGTTCCCATCACAAGTATACAACCCAGGTTTAGTACAGTTGACGTACATGTATTACGTCCTTTTCGACGCATCTTCAATAGATGGTTTGATCTCGTTTATACTGCACGTATATGACTCGCGGTACGTTGCTTTAGGAATATTATCCGACGTGGATGATAAAACCTCTACAGTTGAGTTGTGGTGCGCGCATTTATATCCCTACGAAGAACTAGTGCTTTATGGATGTCTTGACCGGTTAAAACAATGGTGGTTTGGAATCATTTTAGGCTAATTCCAGCGTGACAGACGGGACAGAATAGGTGACCATGTAAAATGTCAAGCCCATTCTCTATATGATACTAAGGATAGAAGGGAATTTAAACATGCTATTTCCTAGCAGAGAACATATAGTATCATATAAAATATGAAACTTAATTCAGTAAAACAATCTCTAGATGTCATCACCTAAACACCTAAACCATGACCGTGACAAATGGGACATTAATTTGCATCCAGTTTTCAAAGGATTTATTCAAAACAAAAATTCTATCCCAATTAAAAATTAAACTACATTGTTATAATGATGTCGGGTATATCCCATAAATAAAGCATCATATCTGGGGCAAGGATGAGAGCAATATCTTAAAAATATACTTTTAGGGGCGAGTTTTTATGCGTGACAGACGGGACAAAGTCATTGTGACTGACGGAACAAATTTGGACAAGAGAGAATGCAAACTTATTTGAAATGATAAAGAAGTTGGGAGTAAATGATGAGTGATGAAAACTTGTCTTTGGATGTTTGAAATCCATTTCATGCTTATAATGGAGATGTTTAACCATTATGTCTCATTGACTGTGACAGACGGGGCATTAATTTGCATCCATTCTTCAATGGATTTATTCAAAACAAATTTTCTTTCTCAAATCAAAATTAAACTACATTGTTATAACGTCAAGTTTCCCATAAATTAAGCATCATATCTTTGGCAAAGATGAGAGCAATCATAATATACTTTTAGGGGTGAGTTTGAACGTGTGACAAATGGGTCAAATTTGGATAAGAGAACATATTTGAAATGATTAAGTAATTGGGAGTTAATGATGTGCGATGAAAACATGTTTTATGATGTTTGAAATCCATTCTATGATTCTAATGGAGATGTTTAACTGTTAAACTGTTATCTCTCAGTTTTTGGAACCATTTCGTATCATTCAGAATTTGTTTAAATTCATTTATTTTTTAAAACAAACTACATATATATATATATGACAAATATAATATAACACTGATTAGACAATTCATAATAGATTTCACATGATAAAAAAAATAATCTGGAACATGTATTTTAAAGAAAAATCAGAATAAATTTATAATAACAATTAAAGATGGCATGGATAATCTTGAAGTAATTTGCCATGCCCTGAACGAATATAAATATTTTAAATTTTGTATATTTGGATATGAGGGCTTCAGATTCCATAATCTTCAATTCTAAATCAACATTTTAAAAATTCAAAAATTTCAAATTGGAGCAACTTTGACTGGGGTTTCCCAAAAATTCCTAAAGTTAGCCAACATTTGTGGAAGAACTAGTTTGTTGATAATTACAACTGAACTGTCAAATAATAAAGAGTTCAATGACAAATGATCTGTTAAAATTCAACAATGTTATTACAAGCTTCTTGAACTATTTGAAGTTAAAAAAAGCAGGAAAGCAGCATTATAAACTCGTGTGACAGACGGGACAATTGTGACAGACGGGACACATTTCAAATACAATTTTCACTCTGTTGATTCATATTAGATCTAATTATGTTCTGAACCGGCCATATAAAGAAGATAGCTATTATTGTTAAACTTTTAAATATTACCTAGTTCTGTTAATACAGAAACTTTTCAGTGTATTCTGTGACAGACGGGACAATAATTTGTTACGATTTTCAGCTTGAAAGATACTTTAACTTACCCTCAAAGAAATTATATACACTGCACAGTTTATTACTAGTTTATATGATACAAATATGCCACTATCATCATTTTCTACCCCTATTTTATTACAACAGAGCAAATTAAATTTAGGCTGCTAACTCATAACTATTTTTTAAACAATAACCAACAACTTTAGCGCCTCGTATTTTGGTGATAACGTAAGACAGATAAAATATCAACCCAATTTAAATAACTTCAACATAATTATATTGAAAAAAAATGCATTGAACTTCCTTATCATTTTATTTTTGTTCAAGTGTGGAACATTGGCGTGGAATTAGCCTTTGCTAGCTTATTACAGCCTATATTATAGAACTTACATCGTGCATTTTCAAATTAGATTGTCTGCAAATTTGCGAAAAATCATTAGGAGTCGGCAATCGGTTTTGGTGGTTTTTAAGCGACTACGCTACACGAACGCTGGCGCAAATAGGCTACACTAGACGCACTGTTAAATCTATGTGTTACGGACAGCTAAATTTTCTCGCCAATGTCAGAGATGAAAATAAGGTTTGGGTACGTGATTGTTGGTAAGATTGTAGGTTAGGGTTAGGGTAAGCATTAGGGCTAGGTCCAGGGTTAGGGTTGCTATTAGCGCTAGCCCTATTTACATCTCGTGACCTTATCAAATAGATCTAACCACTACACTACCTTAACCTAGGCCTACTCTCCTTGCTTGGGTTTTCGGTTTCAATAATATAAGGTGGTGATCTGTAGTTATTTTCAAAATTAATTGTGAGCGTCGTAATGCCTGTAATGAAACCATGTCTAGACTTGTTCGAAATGTTACTCTATATGTTACCATACAAAATTACAAGAAGATTAGATCACAAGCTTAGCTACGCGATTGTAGGGTCTACATAAAATATAATCTGCTCAGTAAGTCATTAACACGGTAACGAGAGCCAGATACCATAGGTAGGCCTATAGATAGGTAATTATTCTTGTTCTGAAACAATTTACTAACATTTTTAAAAATTATCTTTTTTACAACTCCTTTTTTAAAACAAAATATAGCGTCTTTAGCCTACCCTGTTGCCCTCGATGGCTAAGTGGGTGTTCGATCCCTGCATTGGCCGATTAAGTTCATCGAGATCATTCGACGTATAGTTTCCCCTTGTCAGTTGTGCAGGACACTGTATAGTGTATGGCGTATGCCCGTTTTCATTAGATAGTCGGAGCAGAACAGTAGGACGTTAAACCATAGATCTAGTACAGTTCTATGGTTAAACCCCATTTCATTTCTGTTGGAGTGTTTCCCATGGAGTCCGTTACAATGTCAAATATCATAGCCTTCTCTAGACTAGACATCCTTTATTTCACTTCAGCGTCCCGCCTTTAAATTCCATTACTATTAATTACCGGTACTAAACTCTAGAGAATAAAATCTAAGTAAGGCCTACTTTGAGATTTGAACATAAATTTGAGAAACCCTGTTAGGCTAGACTGTAGCCATAGGCCTAATACTAATAGGCCAGCCTATCATTTATATTATAAAAAGTATTTGTTAGCCTGCTGCCAACTTCTATAGGCCTATTATTTTTTTCAGTTTCGGTAGGCTAGATTTTATTTCATGTATTATATTAGACGCAAATATTTAATACCCGTTTAACAGACGTAAGATTTTAATTTATCCATGGTCTATGAGTATGATGGAAACAACAAATTTGGCCCTGCCACTACTGCGCAGTGCCAGCGAAACCTTAAGCCTAGACCTATGATAATTTTTTGTTATAGATCACATAATGTATTATTTAGATGCCTATTACCTGTTTCACAAACCGCACGTGAGATTTTACATAAAGCAATGGACCTTTAATTAGTTTATTTGTATATTGATTGAACATTTACTAAAAAACCGGCGAACTTGCGTTCTAATGATATTCGTAGCGTATAAAATCGTCTGCTGTGTATGACATATTTCTTTTAGAGTTGTTTCCCTTTGCTTGACCTAATTTTTTTAATGCTATTCCATATCAACATCAACAGACAACTTGGACTTTGTACCTTTCGTTCAAGTTTAGTTATTATCCGTAGCGTAGATTTACCTATTTTGGTTTGCGTAAACAAGGTGAACGGAGGTCGGAAGATAAGACAGGTGTAAGTATAGACGTTTATATTAGTTTTAATTGTTATGCAAGTGAACATAATTGAAAAATTTAATTTGATCCGTTGCCGTTGGATTTTCCTTTCCCTTTTATCGTACTTAATAATTATAATGTGATGACGACGGTCGGAAAGTGAAACCGTTAACCGAGCGTTGGCCTGGTGATTTGGAACTAATGGCCACTGGACTAAACATTTAAAAAAAATCCACATTTGATAATATTTTACTGGTAATTGTACTAGACCTGAGTGTCAGTGAATAGTAGGCTAGGCCTATTATTAAGATAGCAGAGGGATCCCAGTTTTCAAAAAAAATTTATTATGAGCTGCCAGCCTGGATGAGTGGATCTCTAAAGTGACATCTTACTATAATATGGTCTACTTAAGCCAAGATAAAGTTTAATTTCAAGCCTTTACTAGAAGTGGTTTCGGTATTTAACCTATCTCACTGGTATTACATGTAGCTGTACCCTGAATAATTCCATCAAGCATTCATTCACTACATTAATAACTTTCATTCATTAAGCAAAAAAAAAAAAACAGTGAGTGTGATACTAAATTTCCTTGTCACCCAACTGCAAATAAGCATATAATTCTATTCGAAATGGGTTCAAAATAATATTGTAATGATCAAAACGGACAAGCAGTTACAGTAGGCTACTAGACAATTTCAAACATTTCAGGTCGAAGAGGCTACTCCTGGCCAATTTAGCCGGATAGCTTGTCTCGTGCACAAATGAAAAACTTAAAATGATAATATTTTCAGATGTTGAATGCTTTGACTCTGGAAGGTGAAATTAAAGGGTTCCATTCCAATTGTGGTAAAACCATATGAGCACTTTGACTCAATTCCTAAAGGTATGGAGGGAACACCTGTGGATTGGTTAAGCTAAATTATGTTGCCATCTCACTATGTACAGATCTGTGGTGTGCATAGATTTTGGAGATATAGCAAAGGATTTAAATTGGTACAGTACCGATAATTGTACCTCCCCCAAATATTTTTGGTTATATTTGGCATGTAATGAAATGATGGTTCACCAAGACAACACCTGTATAACTTACTGCAGGTACAATGCAATCTTGATTTCCTTTGGGAATAATTGCCTTTCTAAACTTTGACCAATGTCGACTTCCTATACCAGTACTTAAATGTAGGCCAGACAAGGAACAGTGAGTGGCTAGTTGTTCAGATAGGATAAAAAAGAGGTATTCTTGGACACTTGCACAAGAGAAAAGTAGGACGTTAAAACCTATTCATTCCTAAATATATTGCCTATAATTATAGGTAAATTTGTTCTCCCATCAGTAACGAATACTAGTGTAGAAAGGCTTAGTGGAGTTATGATGGAACTCCATGGTAAACTGATTATTTCAGAATTTGAATAAGGTGATAATTACAGTTTAGTTGTAACTGAGTTTTATCAAGGTGTGAAAAGGTGAAGTTAAGTTTATTAACCTTCAATTGTATATTTAGTCGTTATCAGTGTGCTGCTAATTTAAGCAAGAAGTCATGGTGTCTGCCCACAGGGCAATTGTCAATCTCTTGACACCACTATACATCTATTTGAAAAATTATGTAAGAAATTTATTTATAGGAAGTCTAGGACAGGCTTTTATAACCTAAATAGACTTGATCTCTTAGTTTTGCACATACCAACAAGAAAATTAATTACCTGTACTGTGTTAAATCCTTTCATACCTCTTCCTGTGTAACACAGTAAACTGCATGGTCCATTGCTTATAAAATTGTTTGACATTTCACCGGGCATCCAAACAGATCTAGGAGCATCATTGTGAATCTCAGATTGATGTTATGATTGTGACTTTCTTTCATTAACCACTACCAGTGAAGTATTGTTGATGAATAACATAGTTTAGAGCAATGGGTTGCTGAGGTTTATTATTTGGATGCGAAATGAATTCATCGATATTGAGTGATAGTATGTGTTCATAAAATTACCTAGTTAGACTTTTAATAAGATGGGTTTTTTTTTTAAAGTGGTATATTTGTATAATATTGACATTGTCTAAGCTTATTGTTTGGTAGTTTTTTTATATGCCCACATTTTCATGTGGTCGTATATTGTCGTCGCCCCTGTCCGTCCACCCGTCCACAATTGTTTTTGAACACTCTACAGGTCACCCTAAGATCTCGGTTCCTTTTGATATTGGCATGTATCGGACTGTAACTTCATGGATTATGGCCCCTGATTGTACGAAAAATCACGTTTTTATCTTGTGAACACTGTAGAGGTCGCAATTTTTATCCGATTTGGTTTACTTGAAATGTATGTTTATAAACCACAGATCTCATTTCCTTTCAATATTCGTGCATATCGGACCATAACTTCCTGAATTATGGCCCCTGATAGTGATTGTACAAAAAATCGCGTTTTTATACGCCCACATTTTCATGTGGACGTATTATGCCGTCGCCCCTGTCCGTCCGTCCGTCCGTCCGTCCACAATTTGTTTGTGGACACTCTACAGGTCACAATTCTTATCCGATTTTGACGTAACTTGAAGTATAGGTTTATCTCCAAAAGATCTCGGTTCCTTTCGATATTGGCATGTATCGGATCGAAACTTCATGGATAATGGCCCCTGTTTGTATGAAAAATCACGTTTTTAGCTTGTGGACACTATAGAGGTCACAATTTTTATCCGATTTTGTTGAAACTTGAAATCTAAGTTGATAATCCAAAGATCTCGGTTCCTTTCGATATTCGCGCATATCGGACCGTGACTTCCTGAATTATGGCCCCTGATTGTACCAAAAATCGCGTTCTTAGCTTGTGGACCCTATAGAGGTCATAATTTTTATCCGATTTAAAAAAAACGTATTATTATATCACCGTTACACCCTAAGGATGGCTGAGTTCGAATTTCGTGAAAATCGGCCCAAAATTGACAGACAAAATGGCCGCCGTTCGTTCTCAAATAGCGTAAAAGTATGGTATATCAAGGTTGTGGACACTATAGAGGTCACAATTTTTATCCGATTTTGTTGTTGAAACTTGAAATGTAAGTTTATAACCCAAAGATTTTGGTTCCTTTCGATATTCGCGCATATCGGACCGTAACTTCCTGAATTACATGTATGGCCCCTGATTGTACCAAAAATCGCGTTTTTAGCTTGTGGACCCTATAGAGGTCATAATTTTTGTCCGATTTAAAAAAATGTATTATTATATCACCGTTACACCCTAAGGATGGCTGAATTCGAATTTCGTGAAAATCGGCCCAAAATTGACAGACAAAATGGCCGCCGTTCGTTCTCAAATAGCGTAAAAGTATGGTATATCAAGGTTGTGGACACTATAGAGGTCACAATTTTTATCCGATTTTGTTGAAACTTGAAATGTAAATTTATAACCCAAAGATCTTGGTTCCTTTCGATATTCGCGCATATCGGACCGTAACTTCCTGAATTATGGCCCCTGATTGTACGAAAAATCGCGTTTTTAGCTTGTGGACCCTATAGAGGTCATAATTTTTATCCGATTTAAAAAAAAAACGTATTATTATATCACCGTTACACCCTAAGGACGGCTGAGTTCGAATTTCGTGAAAATCGACCCAAAATTGACAGACAAAATGGCCGCCGATCGTTCTCAAATAGCGTAAAAATATGGTATATCAAGGTTGTGGACACTATAGAGGTCACAATTTTTTTCCAATTTTGTTGAAACTTGAAATGTAAGTTTATAACCCAAAGATTTCGGTTCCTTTCGATATTTGCACATACCGGACCTTAACTTCCTGAATTATGGCCCCCGATTGTACGAAAAATCGCGTTTTTAGCTTGTGGACCCTATAGAGGTTATAATTTTTATCAGATTTAAAAAAACGTTTTATTATATCACCGTTACACCCTAAGGACGACTGAGTTCGAATTTCGTAAAAATCGGCCCAAAAATGACAGACAAAATGGCTGCCGTTCTTTCTCAAATAGCGTAAAAATATGGTATCTCAAGGTTGTGGACCCTATAGAGGTCACAATTTTTATCCGATTTTGTTGAAACTTGAAATGTAAGTTTATAACCCAAAGATCTCGGTTCTTTTCGATATTCACGCATATCGAATTGTAATTTCCTGAATTATGGCCCTTGATTGTAGGAAAAATCACTTTCTTGTTAGCTTGTTCTCTATCCATCTCTCAAATGTGGGCGTATCCTGCCTGGCAGCTGCTGGTTAGCTTGTGAACCCTATAGAGGTCACAATTGTTATCGGATTAAAAAAAAAACGTTTGAATATATCACTGTTACACCATAACAATGGTTAAGTTCGAATTTCGTAAAAATTGGACTGAAACTGATGGACAAAATGGCTGCCCCTCGTTCGCAAATAGTGTCAAGATCTTGTGTATCAGGGTTGTGGACCCTCTAGACTTAGAGGTCACAATTTTCATCTGATTTTGATGAAACTTGAAAAGCATGTTTATAACTCAAATATCTTGGTTTCTTTTGATTTTCGTACACATCGAATCGTAACTTCCTGAATTATGGCCCCTGATTGTACGAAAAATCGCCTTTTAGCTTGTGATCCCTTAGAGGTCACAATTATTATCCGATTTAAAAAAACCGTTCGAATATATCACCCTTACATCGTAATTTTGTCTGACAAAATGGCCACCCGTCGTACGCAAATAGTGTAAAGTTGTGGACCCTCTAGAAGCCACAATTTTGATGAAACTTGAAATGCAAATTTATAACCCAAAGATCTCGGTTCCTTTCAAAATTCAATATTCGCGCATATCGGATCGTAACTTCCTGAATTATGGCCTCTGATTGTACGAAAAATTACGTTTTTAGCTTGTGGTCCCTCTAGAGGTCACAATTATTATCCGATTTAAATACATCACCGTTGCACTGTAATGTTTGTTGAGTTCGAATTTCGTGAAAATCGGGCCAAAACTGCCGGACAAAATGGCCTCCCCTCATACGCAAATTGTGTAAATACCAGGTAAATCAAGGTTGTGGACCATCTAGAGGTCACAATTTTGATCTGATTTCGATGAAACTTGAAATACATGTTTATAACCCAAAGATTATTGCACACCTTCAAAGGCTAATATCTTCGCTCGCAATAGAGTAATTTGAATGGAATTTTTCAACTTATTTATTTTACATTATCTATTTTTCGAACTATAATAGCAAGAATGACTAGCTCTTTATATAAATCTTACATAATGTATCTTTAAATGATTAAATCGAATATAATGCATAATGGCTTTGAGCTATTTTCATTTATTAGCCTTTTACAAGTTAGACATAATACTTATGCACAATTTTAAACGAATTACGATAGTAATTACTTACATTTACCTTAAAAATATTTTTCAGCCAATAGTGCAAAATCAGGAATTATGGCAGAAGCACATGCTGCTGTAGCATTTTCCTTCTCTGTGACACCAGATGGTGTGAATGTAGCTGTAAATCATGAAGCACTTTGGGCAGTGTTCTACAGTGGCACAGCATCATGGAAAAGAAAACTACACAGGATACAGGTATGAGTAGAGTTTGCAATGGTATTAGTTTTGATATTATCGCTGTAAAAAATTAATATTGTTCACTTATGAATACATCTTTTTCTAATAAAAAATATCTGCCACAACAGATAACTAAGTCATTTGATAACTTTTACTAGTCACAAATGGTTATTCATCAGATGGTAGTCGAAATTTGTCGTTAAAGGACAATATTGGTGCCAGTCATTATCACATATGTGATAGAGCTGGTTAAACACATTCCAAATATAATTTTAACACAGATCATTGCTACGATAGTTGAGTAATACAGGTTTCCTGAATCGGAGGTGACGAACGCCAAAGAAAAACACGAGTTACACCTCTATATAACTGACTGATGTGACGAGTGATAACAGATACACGGATGAATTTCTGCTCACTAATAAATCCTTCCAAAACCAAAAGTTGTTATATGGGACTGTGAGGGGATACCTGACAATTCAATACAGTAATTGAATGTCATTAGATAAGAGAACACGAGAAAAATAGAAATAGTCCGTACATTCCCTTGTTTATATTTATTCTATACCTTATAAAAACATGGTAATGCACGGACTTTTTCTGTTTTTCTTTCGTGTTCTCGTATCTAGTGGCAGTCAATTCTTTTTATGAATTGTCAGATATTCTCTGTCTCACACAAGACCAATGGAAGGAATTATTAGTGAGCAGAAATTCGGCCGTGTATCTGATATCACTCGTCACATCAGTCAGTTATATAGAGGTATGACTCATGTTTTCCTTTGGCGTTCGTCACTTCCGATTCAGGAAACCTGTATTACTCAGCTATCATAGCAATGATCTCTGTGTTAAAATTATATTTGGAACGTGTTTAATTAGTTCTATCACATATGTGATAATGACACCAATATTGTCCTTTAAGTGTTATGTGACCGAGATATTAATTTCTAACCACTTTCTATGTACATATACTAAACATGTGTAATAATGACTTGTATAATTTAATGGCAAAAATTGAGTGATCATTAAGTATATTTTATTCTTGCGTTGAAGTAGGGTTCTAATGTTTTTCAGTGATCATTGTCTGACAAGGGTAATTGTTTGAGGAGACCATGTATGGCCTAACCTTGAGAACTCATGTCATTGTCCATGTTTTGTACTGACTGACCTAAGCTGTGGGCTATCTTGAACTACATGTGAATAAAAGATAGGTTGCCAGGCAACAAAACACAAGCTCACAGCAGCTAATTGTCCAGCGAGTCAATAAGGGTTGTCACATATTTTTGTCTTGTCAGAAATGAAAACATTTACAACAAAATCTGATTAGCATAAAAACATTTAATATCAATTTCCATAATCAATTGAATTGATAGGATTCTTTGTCTCATGATCTTTAAAAACCTGTATTAAATATAAAGTCAATTGGATATTAACTTTAGCCTCTAAAGTGTCCACAAAAATTTTCAAAGTGATCAAGGGCCATAACTACGGCAGTAATTATTTGAAATCAGTAAAAATCAATAAAATGTTTCATCTCATGACCGTCTGGAAATTGTTGAAAATCAATAGGCTTCTTCATCTTATGACCTTAAACACTGTATGAATTTAAAGTCAATCGGATATTGACTTTAGACTATAGAGCTTCGACAAGATTTTTCAAAAAAGTCAAGGGCTGCTTCGTCTCATGACCTTAAACTCTGTATAAATTTAAAGTCAGTTGAATATTAACTTTAGCGTCTAGAGAGTCCACACGATATTTCAAAGTGATCAAGGACCATAACTCTGGCATTAATCAATAGGATTCTTTCCCTCATGACCTTAAACACTTTGTATAAATTTAATGTCAATCAGATATTAACTTTAGACTCTAGAGCTTCTAGTTTCTACAAGATTATTCAAAAAGGCCATAACTTTGGCAATAATTATAGGAAATAGTTCAAAACCAATAGGCTTCTTCGTCTCATGACCTTAAACACTTTGTATAAATTTAAAGTCAATTGGATATTAACTTTAGCCTCTAGAGCGTCCACAAGCAATTGTGGACGATGGACGAACAGGGGCTAGGACAATATGTAAAATGGTAGATCTATCAACAATTTTCATTAACCGAGAAGCAAACTTGATAGTCAATTGCTGATAATTGCTGTCTGTTGTAGAAGTGGTTAATGAACTGGTAATGCTTGTTACCATTGCTTAAATGTTTGCTTTAGAAATGTGCATGAACATTCTCTTTTCACAGTTGGGGGACAAAATTATTCAGTCTGTTTGTATATCAGTCACAGCATAAATTAAATGGCAATTGTTTTTATTTATTTTTTGACCTAAAAATTTGAATTGTATTGTAGAACAGTTTTCATAATGGTATTTATCCAGCCTCACCTATGAGTTGGTTGTTTACATTAACCATTGTTCTGGCATTCGGTCTAGCTGGAGTAGATGTTTCATGGGGAATAATAAAGTACATACAAAACCATGTTCCGGGGTAAGATATCTTTAGATGAAAGGTTGATAATATATTTGGTTATGTCTTTATGATAGATTACCCCTCATTGAATAAAATGAGTTCTGGAACTATAAATAATCTCACAGAACTTGCACAAAATCGATAAACTGAAGTAAGGGTTATTTTTGAAATAAGAAAGTAACTGTCCTGCATGAAGCATATTGATCCAAAACATCCCTATGGAGAGGAAACAAAGATTTATAGGATGTCCTCATCGACTAGTTCATGACACGTACTGTAAAACGGTCATAAATATACCATATTATAACTCTGTTAAAATCGACCAAGACGCATTTAATAAGAGGTTAAGTTGTCGAACAAGAGTGCTGTAGATCCGTCATTAAGTCAAGTGGCATGGTTTCAATCCCACGCTTTTGTGACAATGAGTAGGGTCACGGTCTCATGATCAACCTGGTAGGTTTTCTCTGGATTATCCAGTTTTCTCCTGCTTCTAATTTTAAAAACCTAACAGGTGTATTGAAATAAAATTGTACCATATCTTAGTCCCGAAATGACCTATTTTGTGTCAGTGGACGTTATGTCACATTTCTCTCTGTGTTAGAAGACTAGAGGACCAATAGTTAATGGTTGATCAGACCAATTTTTGCTTTTATTCTTCTTCTATGCATGTGTAGATATAACAGTTACAGTACATATGAGATTTTTTTTGATTTTTTTTTCAGTATCGACTATGCTAATGACACCATTAATTTTATAATAAGCTCGGCTATATTTGGTACTGTTCTATGGGTTGCTGTTATCAACTTTATAAAGTTTTTTTTAAGAATACTATTCAATTATCAAAATTGGATGTATGAAGTAAGAGGAAAGAAAGTTTCCTTAAAAACCAAATTGTGGGTGGTTAGTATATTATTTATACATCTATATTAAAAACAATTCATCTTTATTAAATCCTTAGATAAAGCTTTGGGCACACTAAGTTCATTCGTTCATTGACAGATGTCGAAATGGTTCGTATTTCACCAATTACGAAACACGTTTTATTTTTGAAAAGAGTTTTATTATTAACTTGTTTTTAAAATGCATATTACAGGTTTTGGTTCGAGTGCTCAGTGGCCGTAAGCCGAAGTTAAACAGTTATCAAGCATCATTACCTAAACTTCCTGTACCAAGTGTAGAGGGGACCATGGAAAGGGTAAGCTTACTATTATATTGGTACACTAAAGACAAATGAGGGCAATAGGTTAGCAATTAATACTGTCGAAGTAGCTATAGCTCTGTGGTACCTTTTATAGTTAGTCTCCATATGTGTCCAGATTCTCCAGAACAAGTGCCTGGGTAACCATGTCTGCATATCTTGGGGTATAACAGTAAAATGTCAAGATAAGTTATGTAAGCCATGTAAGCAAATCTGTCAAACACTTCTGAACAGCTGTTTAGGTTATTTCTTTGCATTTAAATACATGTATGGATCCCAATGTACAGTGTGAAATTGTTTTCCAATATTATTGAAATGTTTATAAAGCACATTTTCAATATATTTTTCAGTATTTGTTATCTGTAAGACCACTGTTAGATGATGAAAAATACAACCGTATGGAAAAACTTGCCAATGAATTTAAGGAGGGTCTTGGTAACAAGTTACAACGTTATCTTACCTTAAAATCATGGTGGGCTGCCAATTATGTAAGCAAACATGTTTTTGTTAACTATAGAGTTTATTAAAATATGGTTCATTCTACATTTAAAGAAAATAGTCTCAACAAGACCTATATTTAATTAACTACCTTTTTTTATAAGGTACAAAAATTAAATTTTTCAGTAAACTTGTGATTAACAGTATTCAGTTAAAGAATAGAAGGCAGTCCTACCATAATCAAGGGGAAGCCACTTTTAATTTTTATACAGCCACATTGAAATGTGTGGTCGTATATTTTCGTCGCGTCCATCCGGCGTCCACAATTGCTTGTGGATGCTCTAGAGGCTAAAGTTCATATCCGATTGACTTTAAATTTATACACAGTGTTTAAGGTCATGAGACGAAGAAGCGTCAGATATAGCATTTGTCACTCGTTGACGATAGTCTTGCATTTTCTATTATTGATGATACAGCTGTATATATAACATTAATTTATATTGTAATAATTTGAATTAATGATAAAATCCCAGACTTACAAATGTGGGAAATATAGGCCACAGGTACATTGCATTTATCTTAGAAATTTAATGATTATCCCATTTTGTCCATTTTTGAGCTTTATTGAAAAAAAATGATGCTTGTACATTGAACTGTTTTTATCTTGATTTAATATTGTAGGTATCTGATTGGTGGGAAGAATATGTCTACCTCCGAGGTCGTGCCCCCATTATGATCAACAGTAATTTCTATGGAATAGTATGTATACTTATATTGTGTCAATTGCTTATGATAGGGTGACCCATGTACTCACAGAAATACAGTCCACCGCTGATAGTTCGAGACTACCACTGAAGCGTGCACATTCGCCGTGCCGAGACCAACTTTCTGACAGTATGATACTATAAATAGCCATGGCACGTACAATTCTCTACAAATCTATTAACTATTACAGCCGTAAAAAAATTATTGTTGACGATTTTGAATAGCAGTAAAATTAAGCTTCTTGGTTATTACAGCAGATTTAGAAATTACGTTAGTTTCATTCTTTAAATCGCTTTATCATTAACTGTACCGTTAAGAGCGACATCTTTTGGTTTAGTACAAATAATATCTCTGAATCACTCGGGTTAGACAGGAACATGATACTAGCAGTAGTTTCATTTTACTTTTACAAGCTTCTTAAAATGATTGTTGAGCTACCTAATGTGCTTATTTCTAAATTCAATTTCTTGTTCTAGCTTTCTGTTATGTTTCGTAAAAAAGTAGTCTTGATTATCCCGACCTGTCAATCAGACGTAGAATGGTCGATAGACTGGTTAAGCGAGACTAATTTCAAAACAAGGGCACGTAACCTATCTTTTACTCAAAAGTGTCTGGATGTTATGGACGACTCTTGGAACCAGTTTTCAGTCTATTATTTATACATGATTAATGGTCATAGCTTATTAAGTACAACATGATCGTTTATTTAGTGACTATAATTGTGTGAAACTGATTTGAGGCTTGGCATATATATATAAATATTGTGGCGTAATTGTCGAGATATATGGAGATATTTATTTATGGTGGGTCACCCTACTTATGACTCTTGAATTTTAAATATTATTAATATAAATATGGTTTTAGGTTCCATCAAAATGTTGTTGTACATGTAAAAGGGGATATTTCATTTGTATAGTTTTATTCCTTTTAAGAGGAATGACTAGTTTGTGTCGAGTGGACGTTAAACCCATTTCTCTCTCTAAGAGGAACTAGTGATCACAAAATGTCCATACAAAAATATAATGTCATTGAAGATACATTTTATTTTATCTAGGATGCTGTCTATGTTAAACCTACAGATAAACCTTTGGCTAGAGCTGGTAATGTGATATATTCTATGTTAAAGTTTAGATGCTTAGTTGATAGAGAAGAGCTTGAACCAGTAAGTGTTTTGTTGTTGGCAAAATTTACAAGTCACTTTATTGATTTATTTTAATTATAATAAACCCTATCTTATTAATTTAATTCTGTTACAATTATGATAAACTTTCCGTTACTAATTTATTTCTATTTAATTATAATATACTTTCCATTATTAATTTATTTTTATGTTAATTATGATAATTATTTTCATTTCCATTTAAATTATGAGAAACCCAATATTTTTATGAACATATATTGTAATCATTAGTAGTCACCTGTAAATAAACCATTTCATTTCTCTCCTACTGAAACCAAGTTAATGTCTGTCCACTGTTTTTTTGTAGCCTGTACTTCTAAAGAGATTTATCTATAAATTATTTACAGATTATCCTGAATAAGACTGTACCTCTCTGTTCGTCACAATATGAAAGACAGTTTAATACAACTAGGATTCCTGGTACTGAAACAGGTAGGTATATAATTTAGGAAGAAAATAAAACCTTTAGTTATTCAAAATTCTCTTGATAGATGCTCTTCAAAATAAAAGGATTCAACTTGTGTTAACAAGCACATTACATTAGCCCTGTTGGTACAGAAAGTCACATGTTAAACCCAAATTTCATTCCATTTATTTTGAATATTTTATTACAATAGAATTTACAAAAGTACTGAAATGACAGTAATAATATGAGAATTGTTTTAATGAGAATGGTTTATTTCAGACAAACTTGTACAATATCATGATAGCAGTCATATATCTGTGTACCATAAAGGAAGATATTTTAAAGTGTACATTAGAAGTAAAGGACGATTACTTATGCCCTGTGAAATTGAATAGTAAGCATTTCAGTTAATACAAATTGATTTTTCTAAATGCAGACAGTATTAATTCTTCAAATGACATACAGCTGACTATTAAAATAAAACACACACAAGGTTTATATGGATATAACTACTTCTGTTATTTAATAATGACATTTCATAACACTTGCAGATCACGTTTTCAGGTAGCCTGCAAGTGTTACAAAACGTTGTTCTTAAATAACAGGGAATTAGTTATGTTTGATAGAATAGTAAGCATTTCAGTTTTGCATCACAAGTATGCATATTGTGAAAAATATTGTATTCATAAAATTGATTGAGTTAAAAAAAATAATATTTATAATATCTCTTCTAATTTATTTTTGTTTAGCATGCTACAGAAAATTGTGGATGATGATTCAGAACCTGCTGAGGGAGAAAAAGAATTGGCAGCTCTTACAGCTGGTGAACGTGTAGCCTGGGCTAAAGCTAGGACTGAATACTTCTCTAAGGGTAAAAATCGAGCTTCTTTAGATGCTATTGAGAAGGTGAGTAAAAGGGTTTGAGGAAGTAAGAATATTAAGTCACAAAGTGTTATTTTTTTGATAAACCAAAATAAATAACAGCAATAGGTTTAAACATTAAAATATGGGATTTTGATCAGACAGTGTGCCATATTAGCATTTTAATAGGTGCCTCAGGTTGACAAGTCTGATTGAAAATATTAAAAAAAAAATAAAAAATTGAAAAGTATAAAGTCTAATATATTATATCTTTATTCACATCTGTTAAACTGTATCTTGCGGATGGATATTGTTTGCCAATAGTAGATGGGAAATTATCATTCTTGCCAAGAAAATAAATGTAATTTTTATGTCCTATATATATTAAATATTTATTCAACCCTTGTAAAGTAAAACTACAGAATACTCTCCCTTTTTAGTTTACACAATACCCAATCTATAGCTGAATTTGAAAACCACTCATATTTATTTTTTTAAAGGTTTTAGTTTATTTTTTACTATGTATTTTTTGTGCTTTGTTCATATCTTGAAGTTCTTTTTTCATAGCAAATAAATGTTATCATTCATTATAATGAGCATCAAAGCACTTCAGTGACAGCCGTGCTATATAAATGTGTTGTAATAATAGATAATAATTTCGTTTCAAGAGGCATTTTGAATATTTTTGTAAGATGCATGACGCAAATAACTTCTTGTATCCAGAGTATTAACTTTTATTTTATTACCGGTAATTTATTTTCCTGCAGTATTACTATTTGTTTTATATTCTATTTTCAGGCAGCTTTTTGTGTATCTTTGGATGAAGATTCTCAAGACTTTAATTTGGTAATTTTATATACACACAGTATTTCTATTACAGCTTTTCAGTCTATCTGAAGTTTTCTGTATTTCTATATATTGCAAATTGTATGGTAATACACAAGGTCTGTAACATAATTGTCCCCTGCCTTTTGGAAGAAAGGGGTGAACTACTTTGAGATATGTTAACTTTGATTCTAATTTAATTCAGTTAAATTTGGATTCACTACATCAAAACCATGATCAATTGTGCACATTTTTCTGCTTAGGCAAATTTTGACAAAACTATAAATGTGCAGCTAAACTATTTAATTTGTGATAGAGGCAGGACCATCGGTCTCACTGTTAGTTTGTTAATCTAGATAATTATATCTTCAGATTAAAAGGAGTTATTGAATACTTTGTATGTTTACATATAATGTAAAACCTTGTTGAAAACTGAAGTTGACCATAAAACCCCTGTAATTCATAAAACAGTATTTCTATGGACTACTCTTAACTTACGGCTTAAATATTAACGGCAAAAGACATATGCCCTCCTTGTCCATTCCCCAATTCCCCTCAAGTTCAATCACATTTTGTAGATAGATGATTTGGGGGATATATTATTTCAAAACAAAATGATGTTGAATAAATTCTTAAAACTCTTTAATATAAAATAATTGTTTTATTTCTGCAGGAAAAAAAGGTATATCTGTGTAAAATGTTATTTGCACTTTAAATATTTACTGAAAATGTTTAACAAACTGTTAAATATTTACTGAAAATGTTTTAACAAACTGTTAAATATTTACTGAAAATGTTTTAACAAATTGTTAATAAAATCCACTTTTATTTTGTTAATGAGTTAATTTCACTGTTTATTTCTATACTGTTTGAATTCCACATTCTTGTTAAAAAGAAAAGATTTTTAGTTAAAAATAACCATTTCTAAGATATCTAATATTTTCCTTTTTACTATTAAAAAAAACAATTGTTTACCGCATCAATTTAGTCGAAATGTCCATCAAGCCTGGAAATAATGCACTAGTTATGTTGTCAGTTTCAAATTCAGGCTTTGTGATTCAATACGGCCTCTGGTGCCTACCATTTTGTCTGGCACAAATTTGTCTTATATTTTTCAGTGTTTTTATTTATATTTTTAATGTCTGGCTAAAAGTTCAAAAGGCTGGATAACATTCATTAGTGCCTGACATTTTGTCATGTTGAACTAAAATCATTTCCAGGTTTGATGTCAATCACATTGATAAGCTTAATTTGAAAATTTTTCTTTCAAACTGTATTGTTTTACATTTAGTGATAAGTCATAACAAAAAAATGGTACTGAAACTTGTTCCTTTGAATACTTGGAATACTGTTCAAAATTTACATATTAATTACTTGTGAAACATTGTAAATTTGTTCATCTTACTTGTATAAAAACAATGTACATTATTTGTTTCTAACCATATGTTTTGATTTGTAATTTATAGGAAAAACCAAAGTTATTAGATGCCTATGGAAAGGCTATGTTACATGGTAAAGGCTATGATAGATGGTTTGATAAATCTTTTACACTTGTTGTTTGTTCAAATGGAAGAGTAAGTTTTGTTTTAAAAATCTGAAACTCATTCCATTGATTAACTAGTATCTCCATGGTGAAGGTTAATTCCTGCAGGGCCACCCAAGAAAGTGTCTAGTTGCTCAGAATATACAAAATTAGCATTAATTTGTACAAATAAATGATCTTGGGGCAGTTGAAATTATGCATAATGCCTTGGTATTGCATAAGCCATTATTAGCTTGGTATCATTTGGTAGCTTTTAACCAACCAGTCCTTAAAAATTGTTTCTTTAAAAGATTACCGATACATAGAATTTCTTTTTCTATTGCATGTTATATACATTGTATTTATAAGGTACTTAAATTTTCTTTTTAGATTGGCTTTAATGCGGAACATTCTTGGTGAGTAATGGACATTGTTGGGATAATCTTTATAGCCTACTGTTTTCTCAACAATAATTTTTTTTTCAAATCTGAAACGGATATTAAAAAGTTAAAACATGGGATACATTTCATATGAAATTTGTTATAGTACGAAGTGTAGGTAACAACATAACTCAATAACAGTGTAAAGTTGATATCGTTGATAACTTAAATGAAAATAAATGACAAAAGAATTTAAATCATTCTATATACATAATCTTAGTCAGTTATTGTTAGTAATCAGGCAGTAGTCATCTAGTGTGTGTGAGTTGTATTTTACGCCCGCTTCCACCAAGGTGATATCATCTAGTAGGTCTTATGGCATTATGCCCCTAAGAAGTGAAGACCGACTATTGAATGATGCATGTATACACAACTATTGCTAAGCCTAAGTATTGGTTAGGTTTGTGTATTCAATAGTGATGAGTATTAGAATTAGTTACACTTGAAGTAGCATCTTTCACAGCTAGTTGCACGCCTGTTGATTGATGACTACTGTATAATTTCTAACCCATTTATGGACATACTAAGAATTGGTTTAAAGTAATCACTTGGCGTACGATTTGATGAGAGAAATTTTCTTTAGTAAAGGCCTAGGTTCGAAAGTCAACGATATCGTGTAATTCACAAGGATTTTTTTTGTGAACTTTTAAAATGAGTATTTTAATATTTTGAACATTTGACAGGGCTGATGCACCAATTATGGCACATCTGTGGGAATATGCCATATCTGAAGACAGTCTTCACTTGGGGTAAACACTGACTTCTGCTGTACCAGCATGACCGGGGCTTAAACCCAACCCATTTTAATGCTTGGACTAATTCACTGATATTTGGCACATTGACATTAGTGTTTATTTTTCTTTTGTTTCAAATGTACTAATGTTCAGAGAAATATTGTTTTTCATTTGATTTTGTGAAAAAAAAAAACAGAAAAAAAACCCCTGCATCTATTAGATCAAAATGATTTCTACACCTGGTATTCACCAATTAATAAACTTCAATAGATCTCTGAAAACTTTTTTTTATAGTACTAATTAAGTTGTTTTTTATTTTTGTTTTGTCTTTTTATACTTTTTGTCTGAACCTTTTTGTAATTCTTTTTGTGTATCCCCTCCAATTTGTTCCTTCCATCTTCTTTGTGATTTTGTGTCGTCTGCTAACAGGGGTGATGCACCAGTAATGGGTCACATGATGGAATTAGTATTTACAGAGGATCGGGAATTAGGGTAACATCTTAATGCATGATAGATGTAGATTAGCTTATTTATATATTTATTCATGTAGTAATAATGGTCAGTTTGCTTGATTTCTCATTTAAGATGTACATATGAATATATTATTTACTATTACTAACTTATGTAAATAATTAACGCTATGTATGTTGAATTCCCAAAAAGTAATGGGGGCATTATTAATATTGTCATGGAATTGACTGCCCCATACCACCTTATTATTGGGTGTGTGGTAATATTCACTATACTACAGTCCATAATAACATTAATCTAAATATATGCCATGTTAAAGTTAAATATTTGAATAACTGATTCAGAGAATGTAGTTTAAATATTTTGTGTTTGAAAATTTTAACCACTGACCAAAAAGAGAATAAAAAGTAACCTCCAATTGTAATGCTTAACATGGATTGGATATATACTTCATTTTATAGGAAGCATGAAATTTTTGACCAGTGAACAAAAGAGAATAAAAAGTAACTTGCATCAATTGTATTGCTTAACCTGGATGTTTGTTGGATGTATACTTCATTTTATAGCAAGCACAAAGAAAATTAACTAATATTGCATGAAATTTCCTCTTAAACATTTTTTCTTATATTAATAGTATTGAATTATTTAATTTTTAAAAGTAAATAACATTGAACAATCTTTCTTACATTAATAAGTATTTCGTTTTTTAATTGACTATTAATATTTTTAAAGTAAATAAACACATACATTATAAAGTAAATAAAGACATAATAATCCTTTAATTAAAGATAATAATGAAATTAGTTATAACAATTTGTGTTAAGTGAAATGGTAATATATATTTATTTGTTAATAGATATACTGAAGACGGTCATTGCAAAGGTTCTCCAGAACAGACACCACCCAATCCTATCCGATTAGAATGGGATATCCCTAAACCGGTAAATAAATTACTACATGAAATTTGAATGGCTGCAACATGCTGTCTACAGCCATTTGTAATGTTAATGTCATTATATTTGTACAGTATTGCCAGATTTAACAACTAATTAACATTTGCATCTAACAGGTTTAGTCTATTATTTTAGGATATACGAGTTATATAATGTATTTAATAGATTTTGAGCAAAGTTTGTGTTTTATTATTGGCTAATATGGCATGTTGGTATAAAATTGTATTTCTCTTGTCATGACCATTGAGAATTTTATCTTAATTTTTAGTGTCAAACTGTGATTGATCAACAACTTCAGATAGCTAAACAACTGATCAGTGATGTTGATCTTCATCTTCTCGTACACACAGCATTTGGTAAAGGTTTCATTAAGAAATGTAAAGTCAGTCCAGATGCTTTCTTACAAATTGCCTTACAATTAGCTTATTTCAGAGTAAGTATTATTGATATAAATCATTTATGATTGCTACATCTCAAAAACCAATGAACATAGGTTTGGTGCGTTTTGATGCCTTTTCACTGAAAGTGTCATTAATCCAGGCGTTTGCATGTATTTTAGCAAGAGCAACCATATGAAATGAAACGTAGTTTGATGTCCTGTTCTGCACTGCCTGGGTTATGAAGAAGGGCATGCACCATACAGTGTGTTATAGGGGAAATTTTGCATTGACAGTGACACTGCAGCCTACTCTTACATCAAATTGCAACTGTTAAGGGTTCTATGTGCACGTCAATGTGTACATCTGAGTATGATTTAATTCTTCCTGTCTAAAATTAATAAGTCTTAATGTCTTTTTAATTCAGTCTGCTGGTAAATTCTGCCTGACTTATGAATCATCTATGACAAGATTGTTCCGTGAAGGTAGAACTGAAACGGTTCGATCTTGTACTATTAAATCTTGTGATTTTGTCAAATCTATGACTGCCGGCACTCAAACAGTGAGTATGATTTATTTTTTCAATTTCCATAAAGGAAGGTGAAAGGAGCTTTTCATATACTGGTACAGTAAGCAGTAAAATGACGTAATACATAATTTATAAGCAAAGATGGGACATGGTGTTATATTGATAACAATATTGCTACTTTTGTCACAGATTGGACGGATACATGTTTTGAAGAATCTCGTTTATTTGAATTATTTTGTGATACAAACCATTCCATTTTATTCAAAGGGAAAAGAACTTATTGCTAAATTTCGTGAAGCAGCTGATCAACATCAACAAGGTTATCGTGATGCTATGACTGGTAAAGGAATTGATCGTCATCTATTCTGTTTATATGTGGTATCTAAATATCTAGGTGTTGATTCACCTTTCTTAGCTGAAGTACTGAGTGAACCATGGAGATTATCAACAAGTCAGGTAAACAAAGTAAAACTAGGGTAATTGATGAAATTGTTTATGCAATTGTTTAAAAAAAAAAAAATTATTAAGTTAAATATTTAAGAACTGGTTCATTTTAGTCAAAACTTAAATATTAAGAACCCTTGAATGTACATGCAGATGGGTATTTCTTTTTTTTTTAAAACTTGTGATATATTATATGTATTTCTGTACTTAATATTTCAGACACCACATCAGCAAACCAATCGCATAGATTTAGTTAAACATCCTAAACAAATCTGTGCTGGAGGAGGATTTGGTCCTGTAAGTATTTTCTTGGAAATATACATTCTAACCGGGGGGGAACTCACTGACATCTGGATTTCTAGGAATTAATTTGAAAATTTATCAATAATTAGTACAGTTCAAATTAATTTTTACATGATTCTTTTTTCTTGAATGGTGGTCACATCCACATCAAATGGCTGATTTTACTGTTTGAATATTCTTGATCATTATTAAGATGCTACGATGGTAGTTTTGATTCATGTCAAATAGTGACTATAGCAAAAAAAAATCAACTTTAGTAGCCTTGTAATAATCTATATGTATCCAAATATTTGTATGTGTACTGGTTCAAGATAATTGTTTTTATATTTTACAGGTTGCGGATGATGGTTACGGTGTATCTTACATTGTGGCTGGTGAAGACATTATCTTTTTCCATATCTCTTGTAAACGATCCTGTTCAACTACTGTAAGTAATCTGTTTAGTAAGGTACATTATGTACAAGCTAAATCTGTCTTTTGCAGGTCGGTTTTTTGTTGGCTTCAAATATTACATAATTTATTATTTAGACATTTATTAACATAGTGTGGTATGACATGTCATCAAAACAGCTCTCGTAGGATTTGTATGCTAAAATTATTATTTTTTTTTTTGCTTTGAGTTGTTTAGGGACCAAGCTATCTAAAAATGTCAGGGTTCAAATTTTCCGACCCCTAGACCTCTCTGGGAGGGGCATTTTTGAAATTGGGACCCCACTGACCGAGACCATGGCTATCTCTGCCAATAATGGTTGGATTTTCATGATCTGAAGTTCATTCTGGTGTTTTCATCATGCTGACCACATCTATAATACACTTAAAGCAAATGGAAGTAGTTTTCATTGACTTCCGGTGGGGAATATCAATTTCTGGGGTCAAACTCGGATTGATTTCAGCCAATCTTTGGATTTTCATGATTCTGGGGTTTTTTCGTCATGCCAACCCCATCTACGATACAATTAGAGTGAATTCAAGTAGTTTTCATTGACTTCAGGTTGGAAATACCAATTTCTGGTGTTGAACTCGATCGATTTCTGTTTAGAGAAATCCATCATGCAGTATCACTTTTTGTGGCTTCTGAAGCATGGTAAATCTTTCATGCGGCCACTCTTGGGTCATTGGAATTATCTCTCATGAGATTCAAGACAAATCTGAGATTTGTAACAAGTAAACAAGGTTAATATCAAAAACAAAAAGAAATAACAATAAACAAGCCAGAAGTCGCCAGAAACGAAAACAAAGAAATTCCTATCTTGGAAATAAATACAATGCAGTTCACTACATCAGCGATGCAGCATCCTCATCCTCATCTTCAATAGAAGGCTTGATCTCACTTTAATTAACTACGTTCATCTTATCAAAGCCTTCACGTAATACCCTGCAAATTACGGCACTAATTTCGATTGGGTATTCACCCAGCTTGTGAGCCTATCAGATTCCTCGATCATCGCGAATACCAAGTCTCACGCTTTCCAGTTAAAATATCTTTTAATCGAGTTGCAAAGTTCAAAGTTCGTTCAATGTCAAAGTTTCCTTGAAGTTTGCTATGTCACAACCTCTGGATGTTACTTAAAATTCGACCAATGACCAAACAGTCTTCTGTGGATTAACTTTAATCAGTCTGTTACCTGACGGATAATGAAATTTACTTTCCAGCAACAGAAATTCAACAGACAGCTAACAAACGACGCGTCGGCAAGATAACGATCTGTTAGAGTTTAACGGGTCGTTAAAATAACCCATTTTTGAACAACCGGCCCTATCTAAATCTTATATAATGCATCTTTAAATTCCCATCCCGAGTGTGACAGTTCTACTCTAAAGTGAATACCATAGTCTGATATTTTAACCTCCACTGGCGACCAGTTACTATTCTCTAGAAATTATAAAAATCACTGCTCAACAGCAATAAGAACAGACTTGAACTTGAAGTTCGTTTGGAGGTTGTTTATTCAAACATTTTGGGTTGAAATACCCCTCATTATCTAGAAAGTTATAAAAACTGTTTTAAAATGAACATAGATGGTGGCAGGTCTCCTAATACCCCAGCATCTAAAAGTTCTTAATGCTAGCTGCAAAATCAATGTCAACAAATCCAGCTGAGAACTTGTCATGTCTTGCTTTCCAAAGCTGTAAAGCCAAATCAAAATCATGTTTGACAATTAGAGAGAAAAAGTCTGTGAATTAAATAGAAATATTATTAATTTTAGTAGGGTTCCATCTTGTGGCGCCCAATTGAAAAATGTATTTTGTATTTTACTTAACTTTTGTCATGCATCACAAGAAGTTTAGAATGTTTACAGAGAACTCCATGATTTCTTTTGATTGAAAATTCAGAATTTTGATAATTTGATCCATTGAACAATTACTTCAACTTTGAGAACTGATCTGTAGGTAGGTTCACATGAAAGTGTACAGCGGTGACAATATATTTTCAAACATGTAGAAGTATAAAATCTATTTTCCTTTTCCTTTTCAGGATGCTAACAAGTTTGGTGCTGCGATATGTAAAGCTATGGCAGATATCCGTAATCTATTTGAATCTAATTAAAGATTGTAGAATTTAGGGCATTTATATTTCAAGGCTATATGTGATTGCTTAGACACCTTTAAAAGGAACAATGTGCATAATGGCTGCACAATATCTGAAACTTTGTCCATTTTATGTTTTATGTTAACTATTAATTTTATATTATTTAATTTTTAAGTAAACCATAGGTTTTTAACGAGATTTTAAGAAAGGGCCAAAAAGGCTTAGTGTTGAATGCTTGACATTATTTATAGAGTGCCGGTGATGTTAACTTTGTTACTAATTAACAACTGTGTGAACTAGTTTATTTTGTGATTTTTGATCTAATTTGCTAGGGGTTATTTATTTTTTTTTTTTTTTTGTAATTGTCCATCTATGAAATTTTACTATCGGTACTTTACCTATATTCATTCAGTCACACATTGATGGCTTCTATATTAAAACATAAACAAATTTTTATAGAATTCTCATCCAGTTCAAATATTATAAATCCTTCTTTCAAACATTCTGTTTAATTTCTTTATAACTTGAATTTTTTCCTTTAAATTCACTGAAGAAGCATATCAACTAAAACTTTATTCATGGCATTTTATGTCAATACTAAATGATATTATAGGTTGGGAAGAAAATTTTGTTTTAGCTCCATTTGCAATTTTTATTGCTCAATGTATTCTTTTATTATTTATTTTAAATGCAATTTTCAATGCAAAGTTCTTTGAGATTCAGGGTTAAACACATAATGTTCAAATATGCATGCATTTATCACAGGATGTAACAAATTCATCATTTATGATTGTATGATATAATCAATAACATGTTACAAGTGAGGAAGAACCTCATTAAGTTTGATGCAAGATATGCAGGCAAAAGTTATTTTATCTTCAACAGTTTTATTGTTAAAATATAGTATATTTTAAAAATGTGTGTTTTAGTTAAAAAGAAAAAAAAAATCATTTTAGACCAAATCATTGTTTAGGGAAGTAAAACCACATAGCATTCCTGTATTTAACTATCATTGAGGGATGTTTTGGTTCTTCATTAAATAAATTCTTGACAGAAATATAAACATATATAAATATTGTGTGTTTTACTGTTGTGTTCATCACCCAGAATCTGGTGGGGAATAATATTTGTCGTGGGGTGTAATTGAGTGGGTCCCATTATTGTACAGGAAGGGGTCAATTTAAGTGCCGGGTTACACTTGTGTTAAGGTTGTGTTCTAATGGTGTATAACTGGTGTTCTTTTTTATGCCTTAACCTGAGCCTCTCAATTTAACATTGGTGTTTACACTAGTTTAATACCAGTGTTAACACTGGTGGGGGAAATAAAAAAAACACTACAACACTAGTGTTATTTTTAACAGTTCCACCTTTTGCATCCTGTCCTAATACATTCAATTTTATTCTGATCACCATGGTGTTGCAGATGCGAACAAATTGGAAGCTTGACAAGATTATTAATTGTATACAAACCCTAACCAGTATGGTTGATGCATATATATTAGTCATGAAGTTCATTTTGTAAGCGGGGATCACGGTGGCTAAGTGGGTAAGACGCTGGTTCGCTAGCCTGGAGGTCGGGTGTTCGATCCTCTGCATTGGCATAGAAAGTTCATCCAGATTTTCCAGCATGGTTCCCCCTTGTCAGTGATGCATGACGGAGGGCCTGATAAGGACAACTGTCTAGTCATTCGAATGAGACCAAAAACCGAGGTCCCTGTGTACACATTGGCGTGCATGTAAAAGATCCCTTGACAGTTGGAATTCGATACAAGAGTAGGCCGTAGTGCCGCTGTCCGGGCAAAATTTCCCTCATACCACACTGTATGGCGTATGCCCGTCTTCATTAGCCCAGTTGGAGCAAAACAGTAAGCTGCATTTCCCAATACTACATTATTAGGTTGCATATTATTTAAATGCTTTAAAAACTGAGCTGACCACTCTGCTGCAGTTTTGTTATGTGCAGCGCCGGCGATACCACGTGTCTCACCACTCATCGCCGGTCCACAATATATTGGACATTCAGGGCATTACACGATTTACCACTTTGTCTAAAAATGAAAGCATCTTCAGCATGAGATGTGCGTTGTATTTTAACCATTATACTATTAATGTACAATGCTGCAAATTTATTTTTGCCATCGGCTAAATGGATTACATTTCTAAATTCAGTTGTTGAGGTAGTTTAACAATTATACTATAAATGTACAATACTGCAAACATATTTCTGCCATCGGCTAAATGGATTGGATCTCTAAGGTTGGCAAATTCAATTATTGGGGAATTTTATGAATCTGTCCGAAATATCAGACAAAAAAATCATATGTACTCCTTGCAATCCCAAATGCATGGGCAGGCTGACTATAATAGCCACTTCTAATTGGGATCTATGTTGAATGTCTTGTCACCGTGTATTATACTATTCAAAAAAAAGTAGGGGATATTCAGAAACAATACAAAACTGCGGAAATGCACTGCTGTGGACGTATATTGCCGTCGCCCCCGTCCGTCGTCCACAATTTCTTGTGAACGCTCTAACGTCATAAGTTATGATCCGATTGTTTTAAAATCGATATATGTTGTTCACATTGGTGAGATGAAGAATCCTATTTAATTTCAGCAATTTCTGTTTATTACATCTAGAGTTATAGCCCTTGTTTCACTTTACTGATCTTTATGAACGCTCTAACGTCAAAATTTATCATTTGATCTTTCTGAAATTTATATGCATTATTTAAAATAGTGAAACCACGAAGCCTATTGAATTTCAACAATTTACAATAATTGCTTCTAGAGTTATGTGAAACAGAGGTCTATTGAATTTCAGGAATTTCCGTCAATTATTTCTAGAGTTATGGCCCTTGTTTGACTTTGTGAAAACTGTGAATGTTTGAATGACAAAAGTGATCATCCGATCTGTATGAAATTTATGTGCATTATTTAAATTAGTAAAACGAAAAAGCCTGTCAAATTTCAACAATTTCTGTAAACTACTTCCAAAGTTGAGGTCTTTGTTTCAGTTTGTATAACCTTGTGAACCCTCAAACGACAAAAATTATAATCTGATCTGTATGGAACTGTCTTGTAAAGGCCCCCAGTTACCTATAAAGTAATAAATATGCGACAACCCTTGTCGACCGCACGGACGATTTAGCTGCCGTGGGCGTATGTTTCGTTGCCTGGCAACCTATCTTTATTAGAGGTAACCAGTGTATGTTAATAACAGGCCAATTGCCTACACATGAACATAAACAGTTCATATAGGCGGCTTATCTGACGGTCCCATTTCACTCGCAAAAGAGATACACTGTCAAAAGTGAAAATGGAAGTTTTTGAATTTTGTCTTAATAATGAGTAATTGCTCCACCAATCCTAGACATTCAGCAATTCGTCGTGGCATGCTCCTAATCAACCGCCCAATCACGATTTGGGGCAATCTGACCCACTCCCCTTGCAGTGCCACGGCCAATTCTTGCAGTCGCCCGATCATGTCCCAGACATGCTCTATAGGGGAAAGGTCAGGACTCGTGACTGGCCAAGGCACATGGACAATATGGTGACGCTGGAGGTAGTCATTCACGACACGAGCGCGGTGGACACGGGCATTATCATCTTGAAAGATGAAACGTCAACCTGAGCAAAGGGCAGAACTATCGGTGCCAGGATGTGGTCACGGTAGTACACACCAGTGACACTTCCTTGAACAGTCATGGTGATTCCTCACCACACCATAACAGACCCACGCCCAAATCTGTCATGCTGTCTGACGTTAACGTTAGCATGATGCTCATTTACACGCCTCCAAACGCGAGGACGCCTATCGGTGAAAACCAGAGAACATTACACGCGTCCATCGACGATTACCCCAATTTTTATGCTGCCTACACCATTGACGCCTGTTTGCCATGTGCTGGCGAGTTAATGGAGGCACAACACGTGGTCGTCGCGCATGCAAATGGGCTGCATGTAGCCGATTTCTAATCGTTTTGGGTGTAACTCGAATTCCTGTAACTTGGTACAAGTTTACAGAAAGCTGATTTCTCAGGACCTGTGTACGAATGTATCGATCCTGGTCTTGTGTAGTGGCTCTAGGACGACCTGCACGAGGTCTATCATCAGCATTGTGTGTTTTTTGGTATCGGTTCCACAGTGCTGATCACAGACTGTGACACATTAAGCATGTTGGCTACTGCTCGCTGTGTAGAACCCATTTGAAGCATGCCGATAGCATGAAGACGTTCATCATGTTGAAGACGTCTCATTGCAAATTAAACGTAACACCGTGCACCAAAGCAAAGATACGCTAAACAGTAAATCTTATGCAAGAACCGATAGGAAAGCAAACATGGATAGGATAACCCAGCACGCGGCAGTTTTCATCAATCTTTCCTTGAAGTGTCAAATTTGACAATGAACTCCTCCCACGTGTATGGCGCTATTGCGTGTCGCACGTGCAGCTCAGTGGTTCTGTTGGGGCGATAAGTTCTTCATCTGTGAACATACTTTCAAAGCATGTCAAGTGTCCATGACTATTTATCATATCACAACCTGCATAGGTATTTGCATTTCAATATCCCCTACTTGTTTTGAAGAGTATATATTCAATAGATAGTTCATCTATTTGATCATTATTCAGTTTCAATTTCATTTCTGGATTTTTATAGTAAATCATTAGGTCAGCGATCAACATTTCTTTGTCTGATGTTTTGGCCATTTATAGGTAAAAACAGACTTAAGTTTTTAAAAAATTCCCCTTTTTGTCGTCTGCTGTTTCACACCAGTGTTAAATATGATTTGAACATAGTTTTTTTTAACCCCTAGGGGTTAGTGTTACAGTTATTTTTGACAAGATAATAACTTTTATCAAGTTATTATTATCTAACAAGTTTTTATGTTATTAGAAATAGTATTGCGCAAAGCTCATTGTCTGGTTATGTTTTCATGTAAAATTGTTTTCTTACATCGGTAAATTGATATTGAAAATATAGACAAACTGGGGGGGGGGGCAGGTATAAAGTATTGTTTGGGCAACACAGATACGAAACTAGCCTTCGTTGTGTAAATATACTAAGCAGCAAAAGAAACGCCAGGTTGGTATGCTACTCTGAATAGACACATTGCATGAAACTTGCCGAATGTGTTTATTGTGTATTTGTGACCACATCTCCAATTTTACCTGAGCAATAAGGCTCCTTCCCATACACAGAATTGAACCCAGGAAATGTTCTCAAAAACGCAACCTGACTTCTGAGATGGTAATGCGTTCTCCATGGTTTTCATGTAACCCATGCTGCACGTGCTGTTCACCGGGACCAGCCCTATAAATGCACCCCCCATACCTGTTTGAATCATTCACACTACAACGTCAGCAGCATGCCACGACAGCTCTGAGGAACCAGGCGCTTGGAAGACTTAACGCTGGCCACACTGCCCAAGAATCACTTCCAGGTCAATATTCGGACCATCTACAGGTTTCAGCAACGCTTTCGGGTCACCGACACCACGGATGATCGCCCCCGAACTGGTAGACCATGGGTTACCACAAGGCGACAGGACCGCCATGTTGTGCGACAGCACGTGCAGAATCCCTTCACACAGGCATCTGAGACAGCACGTTAGACAGTGGGAACACACGAAAGACCCATCAGTACCGATACAGTGCGCCGACGTCTCACCAGAGAGAACATCCATTGCCGTAGACCTTACCGTGGACTGATCCTCACCCCTCGTCTACAGTTTGCCCAACAACACCAGAACTGACGACACAGGCAATGGAGAACTGTTCTGTTCGCAGATGAGAGTCGGTATTGCGTATTAACTGCAGATGACAGGACCAGAATATGGCGTCGACGTGGCCAGCGTTATTCTGACCATGAATGTGTCATGGAACGAGACTCATTGGGAGGTCTAAGCATAATGGTTTGGGATGGGTCCTGTGGTGTTCCAAAATCTTGGTCCAGGGAGAGGAGGCGGCATCACAGCAGTGCGCTATATCGATCAAACTCTCAGACTCCACGTCATACCACATGTCGCACGTCATCGAAACAACGTTTTCCAGCATGGCAACGCCCGTGCCCACAC